GGTAGCAGGTCAGTGCCAGACAGCCACTTGCTCACCCTCCCCCAGTGGGATAGGCCAGAGACTCAGAAGGATAAAAGTGAGAAAACTCGTGGGTTGAGATAAAGACAGTTTAATAGCTACAGCAAAAGCCACATGCAGAAGCAAAGCAAAACAGGAAATTCATTCACTATTTCCCATCAACAGACAAGCATTCAGCTATTCCTCCAGAAAAGCAGGGCTCCATCCCACACAGATGTTACTTGAGAAGATGTAATTCCAAATGTCCCTCCTTCCTCCTTCTTTCCCTGGCTTTCACTGCTGAGGACAATGTCATACAGCACGAGATAGCCCTCTCATCAGCTGGGGTCAGCTGTCCTGCCTGTGTCCTCTCCCAACTTCTTATAAACTTCTTGTGTTAGTGGGGCAGTGCAAGAACCAGGAAAGGACTCAATGCGGTGCAATCACGGCTCAGCGATAGCTAAAACATCCCTACATTACCAACAGTGTTCTTGGTCACAGACCCAAAACATAACCCCATACAAGCTACTATGAAGAAAATTAACTCTATCCCAGCCCAAACCAGTACATCTGTCAAAAAACCCCACTGGCCTGGTGGGGGTAACAAACAGATCAACAGAAGAAAGACTGGACAACTGGGGAATTTTACTTTAAGAGGAACCAAGAGATTAGTGAACAAAAGCTGGTGGAATTTGGTGGAAAGCAAAGAGATAGTGTCTGGGAGATTGCACCACTCAGAAAAGAGCTGAGCCAGAGGAGAGGTTGGCTACTACAGTGCTGGTTAACACTGCTTTTCATTTTGCCTCTGCTGTTGCTGTTGGCTTTTATTTTTCCATGCTTTTACTGCTGGCTTTCAACACTGCCACAGTCATGCCTGAAAAGCCTTCAACAGCAAAAAATATCTGGTTCCTGTACTCATCTCCCCTCTCCCTGTTTAACAGTTCAGCATTGTCAGTGGTTAAAGTTAGCACCAAAATAAAATGAGGTATAGCAACTACTAAATGAGTCCCTGCTACAAACGCTGCCCTTCCCCCAGGCTATTGCAATACACAAAGGACAGCTGGACCCATGAGCCTCATAGAAGCCTGGCTCTTGGCAAGCCTAGTCCAACTGCAACAGCACAGAAATACTCCCATGATTTTCAGATGTGCAGGCAGGAACAGGAGGAGGATTTTACTTGGAGCAGAGGTGGATTTAATTCCCTTCCCTATCTCCTTCCTCTCCAAATTATGGTGTACTGAATCCTGGTTTTATTCTTAATTATCAAGGCACTGGGAAAAAATGCTTCTGTAACAAAAAGTTCTAGGAAAAGTTATTTTGGACATTGTGTTTCAGTGAGTCAGAAGTGCAGCTCAGTTATTCACAGTGAAGCCAGCATGTCAAGGTTCCCCCTGCTTCCCATAATGTAGCTCTCCTGCCAGACACCTCCCGTCAGATACTGTGCCAATCTGCCCTGGTTTAGGAATGGTACTCCGCAATTCAGTGCCCCAAGACTCTCCAAACCAGGTGCTGCTCCCTCTTGCTCTGTTTTCCCTTCCCGCTGTGGCGGGACAGAGAGGAGAACTGGGGCCACAAAAGGTAAAGATCATTGGTCAAGAGTAATTTACTGGAAACAGCAATGAGACAAGAAAACAAAAAGTAACAGCACCAATACTAATGACATAGGGTATAAGAAAAGAAACAACTCACACAAACTCGATGAGAATAGACAATACTGGACACCTTCCTCTGTGACATTTTCTGGAGCAAAAGGAGCCCCTTCTCCTCCGGAGAGTCCCTTTCTCTCAACCCCCGGCAATGACAGGAGGTGGTACAGAACAACATCCAGGTCTTGGCCATGTTCCCTCCCTTATTATTAACTAACCCTGTCCTGGTTGGAGCCAGGACACAATCAAATCAGGAGTAACTACAGTTCACCTTTCAAGAAGCAGGCCAAATAGAATCATAGAATAGGTAGGGTTGGAAGAGACCTCCAAGATCATCAAGTCCAACCCCTGATCCAACTCCAATTACTATATCATGGCACTAAGGGCCACGTCCAATCTCTTTTTAAAAACCTCCAGGGATGGTGAATCCACCACCTCTCTGGGTAGGCCGTTCCAATGCCTGATAACCCTCTCTGTAAAGAATTTTTTCCTAACATCTAACCTAAACCTCCCCTGGCAGAGCTTGAGCCCATGTCCCCTTGTCCTATTGTTGGTTGCCCGGGAGAAGAGACCAACCCCCGCCTGGCTATAACCTCCCTTCAGGTAGTTGAAGAGAGTGATGAGGTCGCCTCTAAGCCTTCTCTTCTCCAGACTAAACAACCCCAGCTCCCTCAGCCTCTCCTCATAGGACTTGTGCTCAAGTCCCTTCACCAGCCTCGTTGCTCTTTTCTGGACCCGCTCCAGCACCTCAATGTCCTTCCTGAACTGAGGGGCCCAGAGCTGAACACAATACTCAAGGTGTGGCCTCACCAATGCAGAGTACAGGGGAAGGATCACTTCCCTGCTCCTGCTGGCCACACTGTTCCTGATGCAAAATAAAGACAGGGGAGAAGACAGGGAAATGATGCATGCAACATCAAAACAAATTCCATGAAATTATGAAACACTTTTTATTATATAGAGTTACCAGGTACTGCTGAGCTGGGACAGCCCTTCACCTCAGCATGGTGGTGCTCTACTGGCACAGGTGCTGTTGAGGATTGTGGGGTGCTGGGACAAGAGATGGAATTCTGCAGTATGTGGGACTCCTGTGAACAGCCACAGGACTCCTGCTCCACTTAGCAAACACAGAGCAACTTGAATGACAGATTTCCTTCTCACATTTCCTTCGATCTCCCAGGTAAACCCCACTGTCTAAGGTGGAAATATGGATAGTATCAAACAATATGCTAATATTATGCAAGGGTTTGTAAAGTAGACAAATTTCACATCTTGATTATCTGTTTGCTCTAACACTTTGTTTTCAAGAAGACACTATGGAATGGCATAGGAAAGGCAAGAAAGGTAAAAAATAAGGCCTTTTAGTAAAAGGTATTTGAAAAATTTAGAGACCTTGTCAAGGGAACAAGCAGGAAACTGCAGCTTCATGGAAGAAACCCAAGTTAGTTTTGACAATCCATAGTAAGCAGCATTGGAAGATGCTCCAGAAGCTTCTAGACAGGAAGCATTGGACAGAGATCTTGGTAACAGAAGGCATCTTGGACTAAATCAAAGACAAAAAGCCTCCAGTAGTGTTAACTCAAAGTACCACTTGCTACGAGGCCTGGAGCAGGTGCCTATCCCAGGCTCTAAAGAGCACCTACCATACTTCTCAGCAAGCATCCTGCAGCCCAGCCCAGCTCTGTCATGTCTCACTAACTCTAAAAGCCTGAAGAAGAGATGTTCCCAGTCAGGAACAACTTTGTCAGGACACATTTATTTTATTTCCAGTACAAAACTAAGCTTCATCTAAGCATGTTAAAAGCAGTGGAGTGGTGCAAGGGTTTCTCCTCATTGTGGTTTGTTGTTTAGACTAAGCAATCTCTCCTAAATAACAATAATGTACCTGCACAAGTACATGTTGTATTAAATGTTTTTTTTTTCCCAAGATCTTTTTATTTCTCAGTAAGTCACAATTTCCATGCTGTTTCTCTCTCTTGCAACACATAAGCAGAGACAGATGTTTGTTAGAACTGCAGATGGTGGGGGAAGAGGATCTTTGCCCTAGTCTTCAGCTGGTCTAAACAACAGACAAAAGTACCTATTTTTTGAGAAAGCTCAATTTATACATCAGCTGTTAGTACTATTTGGGGTCTTCCCACTTCTACATTTTTGAGAGGTCCTGTCTCGTCAGCAGGGAAAGTTGGATATCACATGTATATTTAACCTGAACTCCCACTCATTCTCCCCTCCTCAAAGTTACATTGAAATCAATTCCATGGGTTTTTATAGCAAGAGCTGAATGTCAGTAGCAAGGCATGAGGAAGCTGGAGGCACAGAAGGGCCCTGTTAGCTGGTAGAGAATGCTCTGTAACACTGCAGCTACATTTGGCAACTCCATGTGGATTTTCAAGTTTGAATACACTACCAAGTTCAAAAGGCTCCCTTTTACACCAAAAGGTCTCTGGATGCACCTCTCACACAAATCAGCAGGTGACTAACAGGACCCAGTGTATGGGAGGCCACAGCCATGTTGTGCAGCCCACTGCAAACAGCAATGGCTGCTTCCATATACAGACCTCCTTCAGAGGCCTCAGGTAGCAGAGCTGCTGGACACTCTATTTGTTAGTACCATGCCAGTGGTAGTTTTGCAGCTCATTACACTGCTTAGGGTAAGTTAATATGAATGACAGTATTGTATTAAGATTGCAGTAAGATAAAATGAAATCAGCACCTATGGTCAATGGCTTCAAGGAAAAAGCAAACCCTCTTCACTTTTGCAGTGTGGCAGCCATGTATCCACAAGAGGTAATTTTTTGAGACAGGATCTGAAGTGTCATCCTCTTGAAATAAGTCACTTCTATTTCCTACCTCAGCTTGAAACATGAGAAAGGAACTGAAATCGAAGAAGAAATCCCATGAAGTTCTAAGATGACAGCATTAAGAACAGATAGTGCTCGCTAGTCACAGAAGAACCAAGTCTTAACACATGTTCATGTAAGTAGTTTCACTTACTTAGACACTGAAAACAAACTGCACTTTTCATACAGTGATGCTCAGAGACTAAACAGAATGTCTGTTTTTACAACTCCATAAAAATAAAAATGAAAAACATAACAAAACAACCACCTTAAAAGTTCAGGTTACAAGAAGCAAAGTATTTTGTCTATCAAAGAACACATATAAAACAAAGACCGTGCAATACAGTGGACAGACAAACGGACCTGCAGTTTTAATTATGTTGAGGATACTCTGCTGACCAACCCGAACCCTGGACTAGAGCTCAAGTTTCCACACTCTTTTAGCTCTTCTGTGAAATATTTGTGATTTTGTGACCTTATTCCTTGAGGACTACAAAATGAAACATTATGTCAAAAATGATAAATAATGATTATAAAGTATTTACTCAACAGTAATACATTCATAGAACCATATTCTTTATATTAAGTTCAGGTGTATTTTCACAAAACAAAAACCAGTGCTCAGCTACTTACAAACCACTCTCTTCCTACAGATCACCTGAACTAATTAAAAAAGGTTACATTTCAGTAGGGGAACTTTAGACAACATCCATATCTGTGGTAAAGGAAGACTATTTACCAAAAGCTAACTGCAACTGTTAGGGAAAAAAAAACAGCCTCCAAAAAACAACAGCAATAGAATTAGTCCAGTATAACCTAGAAAAATTAACTGTACTTCTGATGCTGCATTACTGAAAAAAAACTCCAGAAAAATACAAGAAATTTCCTTTTTATTTAAACCTACCATTGAGAAAAAGCAAGTTCTTCAGAGAAAGTGACCACTATGAAAGGCTTCAAAAAAGAAATCATGGACTTCAAATCTGTTATACATTTGTGTAAATTTTAAGATTCACGTTCTTAATTATCAATTCTTTGCAGGTTCTCCTCTTTGACAACTTCTGGAGTCTTGGAAGCCAAATGTTCCAAAAAAGGTCTACAGAAACATTTTATATATGTATAGCTACATATCTGTAGCTATACACTGTTCAGCCATCCTTGAAAGTCGCCGTCGTCGCTTCATGAAATACTTTGTGTTCCATTTTTTTGATTCCACCATAAAAGGTCCACTGTAGACAAACAGCACAGTCATCTTGTCACTGTAAGTGAGATTCCACAGGAGCTAGTGAAAAACACAAAACCCAAAGTCAAAATAGCTGTATGTTCCACATTTTCTAAAAAGGGAAGTCTACATGAGACCTTAGATCTCAAAAGGTCAATATGGCAGAATTATAGCCTTTCTGACAGATGATGTACATTTTTTCCTAGGAACCACCTCAGAGAGACTCCACTCATTCTTCAGGCAATTTCCATGTGTCACTATTCTTATTGGAAGAAACCACTTAAGTACTTTTTTCTGTATCCACAACGGGGAGAGAGTAACAGCTGGTTTTCCTTTTTTTTTCCTAGGGCAGGATAGGAAGTAGATTTACTTGGGTACAATTATTATGTCTCTCTTTAGCCTTGTGCTCCTCTAAGCTAAGCAATTTTCATTAGCAGAAACTCAAAACAATCAAAACTACTTAAAAGTTGCTCTGCTGTCTTCTGGAGCAACTCCAGCCCCCCCCAACTACTTTTCTGAAGGTCACAGCCAAAGCTGGACACTTACCACAATCCAAATCTTGCAGGCACAAGCCCAGGAGACAGATGTCATGCAAGCTGTAGGGTTATGTGCAGTGGTCAGGATGATGTTTAGCGATTTACCTGTAACTGATGCTCAACTTATTATCCACAGTAACTTGTCTCCCCAGGCATTTAGGCCTTAGACCAGATGCTGTTGTTGATTTTTTCCCATTTAAGTACCAAATTTTATGCTTGTCTGTGCTGAAATGAATCCTGTTTTCAATTAAAGATACCTAAGATTGTTTAGAATTCTAATCTTGCTTTACAGCCAAAAAAGGATTAACTCCCAACATGGTGATAATTCATATATTTAACAAATGTAATTTGTTTCAGTACAGATTCTTATTAAAAATACTGATTTTCAAATCCACTTCTAAGGAACACATTCAGTTCATCTACTTTTTTGACCATGAATTACAGAATACAATTTACCTAATCAACTTACTGCATACTAGTTTATACCCTTTCCCATCTATAGCTTGCTTAAAAATATAGCTAGGGAAGGTGTCAACAAAAAAAGGGTCACAGTTTTCCCTGTATCCACTGGGTACATACATAGAATTTACCTTAGAATGACAATTAGTCACACTTCCTAGTATGTGATTACATCCTTGCTTTCTAGGAAGTGGTAACATACAGCACTGCAGGTCAGGCACTGCAACAGCAGTCTGGCTTTCTCCTCAGCCTGCCCTGTGCAGCCTTTCAACGATCCTCCGATGTGCCCACTAAACACTGTTATGGGCTAAAACCTGTACATGATGTGCTCTCTCACTGATGTTTCTTGTGACAGGCCATTACAACTTTGCTGTGGCGATGACCCATTTGTGGCGAGTGGGAAGAGGGGGTAGCCAGAAAGATGTAATACCTTCAGCCACCTCTTCATAGCGCTGTCTTTTGTTGCTGAATAATGCTTCCGAGATTTTTTTACTCCTGCTTTATTTTATTCTGTTCCTTCTGGTTAGCTCTGCACAACTCCCATTTCCCCGTCTCTATTCTTAGTAATTTGACAATGAGCACAACTTTTAGAACAGAACACAACTCTGAACCCCAGACAGTCGTTTTCTACAGTTTCCTAGATTTGGGAAGCATTATAGTTAGTTGAACTATCTCTATTTTTTCAACATCTAAATCATTCTGTTCCTTCTCAAAGTAGGAGAGAGCACAGAAAAGCTGATCCAACAAGGAGGGGAATCTCAAGAAGATAAAAAGGAGTGGGTAACACAGAGAACAATAAAGAAGTGATGTGGTCAGGAAACCACGAAACTGTGTGGAGGCAAGTATACAGCAAGATCAGAAGGAACAAGCAGCACCACCTTCCACCCACTTTCAGTCAGGTAAATTCTGTTAAGGTGGCTTTATTCAGACCCTTCAACTGTTATATGTACAGAAAATAATAGCATAAACCAGCCAGATTTTCTAAAATACATTGAGTAACAGGATGCAGATCCAGTACCTTAATAAAAACCAGCCCCCTGCTGACTGCTTGTCTCCCTGGTGCGCATATAACCTTTACTAGTTCAATAACATTAGTTTCTGTTAAGGGTGTGGGTGAACAGCTACCCTACTTACCTTAGTCCTTTCAAGCCTTGGCATCACATCACCACATCACCTAGTAAGTCAGTTATCTTTTAATTTTTTTATTTTAACAGACGAGTACAATTAAGCACTCTTGGAGCCTAGCTCTCACCTTTTCTCAGCTTCTGTGTCTCAGATTATTACTTGAATAGTTTTCCTGTATTAATGTGGGCCTCTTCTAGTTCTTCTGACGTCAGCAGCACTAGCCTGCTCCTCCTCCAGTATTGTCATCTGACTTGTTTGGAAATTGGTCTTTTCTACAGTTTGAATTCTGTGTTAGCTAGAGGCCTTGTTCCATGGTAACCCCAGCCACTGGTGGTTAACACATGTTCCACTGAATGGGTTTTTGAGGACATGAGCCTTGGTCTAAGTTGCCTCAATTCTTGCCAGGACTGTCCTTAAAATGGACAAATCCTCTCAGTTACCCTTTAATATAAAGTTCTTAGGTAAAATAGAGCTAAGTTATACAGTGTTTATAGGGGTATTATCACACAAATCTTAAATCTCCTACACTAAATTTTTCATTTCATTTTCTGCCACGCACCTTTGGTGTAATGAGGAAGTACTGAGACGCCTTTTTTTGACAAGCAGTTTCAACAACCATTTGAAAAACTCTTCTCTCATTCACTGGATCCATTCCCTAAAAGGGGAAAAAAAAACAACTGTTCTCTTCACTATGTCATAAGAACCTGCATGGAATAAGTCCAATACTGCACTATTGATTCTCACCTGATTTATTTCATCAACAATCCTGAAAGGACATGTGTTGAGTTCTTGTAGAGCCATCAGGTACAACATAGTGGAAACACTCTTCTCACCTCCACTCTGATGATATGGAGTCAACTCATGAAGTTCAGTGCCACTGCGGAATTTGACTCTAATGCGAATGCCATACTTGTCGTACTCCTCCTGTAAAAGCCAGTACCTGTCGGACTCATTTTCTTCGTACTACAGCTTATTTTATAATTACATGCAAATTGAAGAAATTTATGACAAATATTCTACAAGGGTCTACAAACTACTCAGTTTTAACTTAAAATCAACATATTAGTTCTGTTTCATCTATTTTCCTTAAACCTCATATACTCTTGTTAGAGAATTTTCAACAACACTCCTTCCCCATGACAATGATCTGTTCATTTCTGAATCCCTGGTAAGAAAGGTTTCATACACATTAAGAACATCAGTAGGAAAAAAAAATCTCGGCTAGAAAAAGAAGAAAACAATGGCCCTATAAATCCCATTAATCAGAAAAAAAATTAGGGCATTAGGGTACATGGTACTATCGAATTGAACAAAGGAGTGATGGTGGTATGTAGGTTAAGATTCCATCTGAACCTCTTCAAGTGCAAGCAGTCCAAAATTCACCACAGCAATTTTCTTTTCATACTTAAAACAGGAAAACTACATACAAAGATTCCAACCCTGGCTTTTCTTTAACAGTAAAGTGACACTAGTCAGCAGCCTGAGTCAATGCAAAGGTGTCAGGTAACATGTGATTCAAAAGAAGCATCATGCAAGGAAATACATTCATGATTCAGAGAAAAAGAAATCTTCAGAGTACTCATTAATATTTCTGAAGTTGTGTTCAGTTGTTCTGATCACAACTTCATGTAAGGAGAAATAAAAACTAGGATCTAAGGTCTTTAGGCCCACTATAATTTTAGATCCATTTGCACAGACTGAAGCTAGGCACAGGAAGTGAACAAGGTACAGGCTAGCAAAACCCTGAGTAAGAAAGATTCACCCTCCAACACAGCCGTGATGGTGTCAGAGAGTCAGGCCTTTGTTGCCAGACTATTTGGAATGCCAGTTTCTATAACTGACAAGATGTTCAAGACCTGACAAGAACGATGCTCAAAAGTCCATATGGGGAAATCAAGGAATGTGAGGGTTATCACTGCTAGCGGAATTCTGCTAGCCAAGGAAAGTCAAAACGTTCACCGAGCCTTCTGCTAGGACGTCAAGGAAGAACCCAGTGAAGTGTTCCACACAGTATCACAGATTCAGAATCACAGAATCAATTTTGTTGGAAAAGACCTCTGAGATAACAGAGTCCAACTTATTACTGAACACCACCATGTCAACTAGACCATGGCACCAAGTGCCACATCCAGTCTTCCTTAAACATATCCAGGCACAGTGACTCCACCACCTCCTTAGGCAGTTAGTTCCAATGTCTAATCTCCCTTTCTGTGAAATCTCTCCCAATGTCCAAGATTCCTCCTATTACTGTCACCAAGGACATCAACAGATCTCAAGTTATCTGCAAGGCAGGCTAACAGAGGTTTGAACTTCAGTGTCACACAAATATTTCTAAGAAAAGATAATTCTACCTCAAGAGTGTATCTCTCTATATCTACAGGTCAGGCAAAAGACCCTGCTGCAGCAAAGGGTAAGGAATCCAAGCTCAGAAACAGATTATCTACCTTTCCGCATTCTTGCCACTGATCCCCCCAAGCAAGGAAGTTTTACTCACTAGCACAATACCACTAGCTAACCTCTTAAAACTACTTGTGACATCTTTGCTATAGAAAAGCAAGACCTTCCAAAGACCATACTCAGAAAGACAGTCCAGACTCCTTTTGCTTTTGAACTGCTTTAATGTTCCTTCTGTGTTCTCACTGCCAACTTACTTTTATCTAAAAGACAGTTTTGTGTAAAATAGATCTGACTCCCCAGGTAACTATCAAAAGACCAGAAAAGTCTATGTTTTAATGTCCTATTATTTCATACTAGTTTCCATGTAAACATTTTTTATGCAGTTCATATACAGAGCCTTGTCAGACACTATTCTGCCCCAAATAATAGCTACCACTTCAAATATTTTTTAAAAAGCTGCTTGAGTTAATTTACAACAGCAAAACAAAAGAAAAGTTTAAGTCTTAATTTTCACTATTGTGGAGTCTATGCATTAACACATGAAAGTTTTGAAATCATCACTAGAGAGATCAATTTAAACCAAATATCCAACTTCTGTTCACTACGGTTACTATTTCTCACCAAATTCTACTGATGCTTTAAACTCTTCAGAGGTAAACCCTACTGAGAGCATAACAGGATGGGCCCAATGACTGCTGCTTCCAGAACAGACAAAATGCCAGCAGACTCCAGTAGAAACTACATGTAGAACAAAATCAACACCTAATAATAGTAGATATAGATGATAACAGAGGAACACAAATCAGCTGAAAATGCAGAATCAAATCATTAATTTCATAAATCTGAGTTACAGCTTCTAACCAAGCTCTGTAAGTTGCAAGCCTATTCCACAAGTCAAGACGTAAAGTCCTATGTATCTGGATAAAGATCCACTTTTCTTCAAATCAGATTGGTAAGTAAGTTCAGTACACAAAGTGTTCAGTAAAAGTTCATTATTTTTTTAAAAATAACATCTCCAAATGATGACTTGTTACTTTCCTCTAGCAATATATGGACAAAAGGTGATGCAAAAAAATGTTATTCTTCCATATGAAAAATAAATCTTACCTCATTTTCTGCATGAAGATCAACTTCACCCACACACTGCATAGAACTAAAGAACTTACTGAACTTAGCATTAATTTGTTCAATCATGCCTTTCAAGAGGTTTAGCCACCTTTCTTTGACCTAAAAGTAGACAAACCCATGTAAAACCAGTTCAGTAACTGAATTTTCCCTTAGAGATAGCATTTAAAGAAACATCATGATTAGGGAAGCTCACATCTCAGTTTACACTCAAGACAATTTGAAATGTTACCCTTTATTTCTGTATATACATTTGTTCTATAATGTATAATGACATAAGATTATAATGATACCAAAGTGATAACCTGAGCTATTACCTGTGAAATGTTTTGCCTATAGTTATTCAATTCATTTTTCTTTTCCTCTAGATATTTTGTCAACTGCTGTATTTCTTGTGTTTGCTTATTGTATTCTTCAACAACCTGCCAGAATAAAAAAGGTAATCAACAAAACGTTTCCCAATTCTAACCTTCACTGTAATAATATGACACTGCACTGATAATGTTCAAACACAATTATTTACACTATTGCACTGCACACTAAACATTTCTAGCTTTAAAGCAAAGAAATTGTAAAGCATTACCTCTTTCGCATTTTTTTAAAAGGCACAGAACACACTGTTCTCTTGGAACAACCTACTTAAAATCTGAATAGATGCAGAATCTGGCATTTACAGCACATTGTTCCTGCTGTCTAGCTTTTTATACCTATACCAAGGGATGCAGCACAGAGTGGAAAGCAAGTACAGTGCAAGTAGAGGGGGAGGAAGAGTGAGTCGAAGGTAAGCACTGAACATACCGAAGCATTCAGGCCTGTGAAACAGGAGGCCCTCGTCTTCTCTTCGTTCAGAAGAGCATCAATTTCCTCCAATGTGTTTGGAAGAGCCTGAAAACTCTATAAGAGAAAGGATGCAAGTGTTACAAAGCAATACTAATGAAGGACTCACATTTTCTAAAAAGAAACTGAATAAACCATAAAGTATTCTATTACTTTTAATCAGGATGTTGCATATTAAAAATTTAACACAGCAAAATTTCCTTTACAAACTACTTTGGACAGAGAAGGAAGCTAGACAAATACAGCCTCTAATTAGTTCTGTGAACAAAATACTATGGATTTTAATTGAAATCTCAGATCAAATTTTCTCTCCCCTGTGCACAAAACAAAGTGACAGTCAGAGGGTATGCCAGCACTATTTAAAAGTTCTTCAAAAGGTTAAGTGACAATAAAAGAAATACACATGATCCTTTACTGGGAGCCCTCTAATATAAAATAAAGAATACTCTTTGCAGAAGCTATACATTTAAGACAGATGTGGAGATTTGTTTTCGTACGTACACTTTGCAATTCTCTTGGAAAATCTTGATCTGGACTCAATTTGCAGACCTGTCGAGCTTGCTTCATCAGTTCCTTGCAGTTCTCATAAAGAACTTGCTTCTTATCATCCAGTTCATGAAACCATTGCTGCCAGAAATGTTAAAGATATTTTAAAAAATACATCTTATTTTTAAATTTTATTATGAAATTCCAGAGATGACACTAGCACACTGGCAACAAACCACATCTGAAGCAGAAGTGAAATCAGACTGAATGTTAGAATATTGAAAAAATTTGTTTCAACGAACAGAATTCATTATACCTCTCTGCTCCAAGTCAACAGATGCCAAGGTAAACTGTCAAAAGCAAGTTCTTCTAACACAGGTAAATTTATTTTCTCTCAACTAAACGAGTGTGCATGTAGACTTAATAGATGCCTCAAAATAGACTATTTTACAGGAAGTTACCTATAAGCCAAAACACAACTCTTGCGAGCCTTATATTAGATCACATTTAAATGTATTTATCTCATTAGGAAAGCACAGTGGACATGACGTACACTGAATGATTATTTCAGTTGACATTTTACCAAGTAAACATCATCACTACACAATCAGAAGTACCTAATTTGTTGTTTCATATTGTACCTCTGTAATAGAGCTAGGAAAATACAAAACAAACACACACTATTTTTAAACTAGTGCTTAAAAGTAATTGAAATGCAGGTATGGTTCTGGTTTCACAGTGGTCTCAAGGCTAAACTCTTCGGAACTTACTACAGGTAAGCAGCTAACTCAGTCCACAACTGTTACAATGCAATGGTATGTCAACAGTCATTTACAGCAGTTAAAGTACAGTACATAAAATATGGCACCTTCACAAGACACCAAGCTAAAGATTATGTCAAATAAGCAGTATTCAGGCAAAAGAATTTGGAAAGTCTGCAGTATCTCTCTCCATCTGACCCCAGCAATCACACTCACTCATCTCTCTGTATGTGGAATGCTTCTGCTTCCAACAGCTGAGCCTGCAGTGTTTGCGAGTGATTGCTCACTACAGCCTACCAGTTCAGGTGAGCACCACTGCAAGACAGCTGGGAGATGCCAACAGTCAGAAGGGAAAAGGACTACATACAAACATACTGGTGAATTTTAACCAGTGTTAATTTACTATACATTTGCTCAGTGATTACACATAAAATCCATCTTTTCAATTGACCAGTACACTGCAGGAATACATTATTTCCACTTTTTTCAGAGGCACAAAAATCCATATGCACAGTATTTTCCTTCAGTGCTTTCTTCTGGCAGTTTGGAAAGTTTAGTTATATTCTTATATTTATGAGAACTTTATCTTTCCAGTTATTGTTGTGCACCTCAGTTAAATATGGGAGCCCTCCAGTGGTGAAAAAATTTCAAAGCTTTCCTTTAGAGATTATGCAGTTAGAGAAACACTTATTTTGAAATACAGGACACAGACACTGATAGCAACTCTCATTACTTTCTGGCAATTTAATGAATCCTTATTCATTAAATACAACATAAGTAGTAGTAATAGATGTGACTGAGTGATCACCCAGAGAGTTCTCACACTCAACTCAAGAATTAGAGGTGCTGTTCTCAACATGTATCAAATCAAAAATCCTGTTCTTCTCTCTCTCCACACCAAGCACTAGATTTTGCTTTAGAGATAAGCACTTTATAGTCCCCATAAACACACTGTATTTTTCTACCCTGTTTTTCAGAAAGGTTGAGGAAAACAAAAACGACCTTTTTAAGGTCTTTTATGAAGACTTCATGAAGTCTACTGCAGAGAAGGAGGGAAATGTCACAGGGGTGGCAAGAAGGACTGGCGTTAGAGCTGTACAGATAAAACAGTAAAGGGAAGATGTCGCTTTTTCTGTTTACAGCCAAGATCTTGTATTACACTGAATTGGCATAAACAAACCTGTACAGCGCAACACTTATGTTCCACTGAATATCTGCATATGCCACGTAATACATTAAATAAAAAAATTTTTGTAAAACATTCCTAAGTTCTAATTAAAATGGGACCTGGAAATTTAAAGCCTTAAAGGCTTAATCTGAAATGTGTTCGACTTCATGATCATGAAGGCAAAGGATACAGTCAGCAGCACCCACACTTTTTTATATAAGCAGCATTGATTTTATACTTATGTGTTTGACCATTTCCAGAGCTCAAGTCAGTTCTGAAACATTTGAAGTGGGTAATCTCGACTCTCAATTGTACCTAAAGCTTCCACTTGAAGCCCTGCAGACCTGCATGGAATAAGAGTTCAAGGTGATCTCTAGGTACTGCAAATGCCAAGCAGATTCAACATGGAATATGTCTGATCCAAGTCAAGTAAAATTCTTCAGGGAAGAGGAAAATACATGTTTGGCAGTGGAAACTTCAGTATTCAACAGAAAGACTGGAAAGAAATAAGACATTTGATGTGATTATGAAGCATGTACCAGAACAAATGCACTGACAGTTCAACAACAGGTTAAGTTTCAATTTTCATTCAGCTTTGCCAGTTTACTGTCTTGGCCACATGCTAAATAAAATGGTAAGGTTCCTGTCGATTTCCTGAAGGTGCTTCAATAAAACAATCGTAGACAAAAAGAGTAGGTCTAAGAATTGCCATTTTGAACAGAGATGCTACCATAAAAAATGGTAAGTCTAGAGAAAACCTTAAATTTGTTTCAGCCAACAGCGTAAGAATCAGTTTGTAAATAGCTGTATCCACGTACTTCAGGAAAGTTCCATACTAGTACAGAGCTGCAATTACAGCTTCCATAAAGGATACTACCAAAGAAATCAATTCTATTCCATCGTAAACAAACATGCAATCAACTGTGGCAATTACCTAGTGAGCAAATGGGGCTAACAATCCTCCTTAATGTTCAGTATGGGTCACAAACACAGGTTTTACTTCCTGGGCTCATTAAATAAATTAAATACAAAGGTATGATATCACTATAGTGCCCACTTGAACCATAGTGATAAAATAAAAACCCCAGAAATCTGTTGTTGCTAACTGGACTTGTTCAAAAACATGTCCTTTTTGAGCCTTTCCACTTAAATTGTTAAAAAAATGAAGCAACAAACAAGCTATCTCTCCACATTGTCCTACTGCGGAGACCTCAAAAAAGGTCTCCTCTTACATGTCCAAAGTGGGGTTTCTGTTTGGTTCAAATCTCTATTAGATATTAACTGAGGTACTATAAAACCTCAAGCCACTAGAAAGCTTTCCAGGGAGGAAAGCTTTCTTAAGCAAAAAAGCCCTAATCTCCTCATAGTAAAATCTTCTAGAAGGGTCTTCTACACTTACACAGCATACAGGGAAGTATAGCTTCAGATTTCCACGTACATGGAAAATTAAGATGCACTTGAATACTCAGAGGAGTTTTCCTCCAGAGCAGGTGCACTTCTAGAAATTCTAATCACTGTGATTACTAATTTTAGGGGTTTATTTGTTTTAATTTTCATTGAGCCAACCATCAAAAATAAATCACTGATATGATTTCTTCTAGTGATGGGGTTGAATGTAACGCAGTAACGACAACTAATGGGACCCCACCTGACTTCAAACACCTCTTCACCAGCGAAGGAGGCAATTTTTGTTTAAAAACTATCAGAACATTTATCTCACAAGTACTGTCTACTAAGCTGACCAGACATCTAACTCTGCACCAGCCCAAGCTACTCTCTAAAACCATGAAGATGTCCGCAGAGACAAATAAAAACATTAAATAAATTTCCCAGTGAAAATACACACTGCTCACATGGTTTTGTAATACATTCTTACTCCTTACTGAGCTCTAGCAATAGTCATTTGCATTGGATTTTGATAAACTCTGAATAACAGGTGCATCATGTGTGAGAACTGATGCAACACCCGTTTTCCAAATAACATGCTGGACTTGTCTCTGTCTTCAAGTCACTTTTTGCTCCTCTTAGGAAGTTCTCCTGTGCCCAGTTTTCCTGCAAGTGATGGAAACCATAACCTCAAGTGGTTTTCTAAAGACATGCCAAGGTCATTCTTTTTGGAAGTATGTATCCATATCTATGCAAAATAACTATCACTTACCTTTTGAACTACTTTACAGTTCTTATTTTTATTAATCCAATTGAATTAGCAGTAGGTTATAGTTAAAAAAAACAGAAAACTTACCCCTCTTTGCTTTCATAGTTTACTCCCCAGAGCACTTAAAATTTGTACTACTACACAAATACAAAAATTGACCTCTATGCAGCAATCCATGAGCATCACAGCATCCTCTGCTCTTTGAAAAGAATATCTGCCTGTGGAACTAATTCCTCAGAGACTGTCTTTTTACCTGAACACAGCATAGCTTCCTAATATGATCAATACAAGGGCCGTATATCCTCCTTTCTGTCCGCAACAAAAGGCATTTAATTACGGCATGAGGCAATGAGCTATGAAAGAAAGGTAAAATAGTTCTGTTCTGCTGCTGCACTTTCTGGTTCATCTTGAGTTGGTATTTCCCATGTGGGTCAGAGCTACTTGTCCATGGACAGACTCAGAAAAAAAATAATACTTCCAAGTAACAGCTAGCGTTCTTACACACACTATGCATTTCAACAAGAAGATCCAGGGTATGACTGTTTGGGTACATTTTCACAAAAGCTTATCTGTCTTGAAGTCAAACTACAGAAATCAAGGCTAAATATTTAGCAGTACTAATACCCACTCTTATGCAAAGACAGAAAAGTATCCTTTTGAACACCATAAAGACTTCCACATGTTTTCGTAGTAGATATCCCAGTATTCATAGAAGTTGTTACCTCTGCAGCTTTTAGCTGTACAGTTCCTGGTTTATACTCTGATTCTAGTCTGGTCTTCTCAGCAATCACCTTACTCCTTCGAAGAGTCAAAAGCCCTTTGAGGATGCTCAGTGGAATGATATCCTACAAAGAAAACAGAATAGATCATTTTTTTTCCACTAGAGACTCAAAACCAATATAATCACTATCGGGCTTCAGAAATTATCCAATTTTTTTTAGTCATAACACACAATCTCACACTTGTGTTCAGCTCATCAACACTGCTGTCAAATTCAATGAAAAAGGTGACTTACTGGTGACCCAAGTTCTTCAAGATGTATAGTTGCCAAGTACATTTATCTCTAAATATGTGTACACACGCACACACGCACACACATCACTTTCAACCAAACAATTTTACATCAAAAAACCCCCACATTCTCTTTCCCTTCACCATATGTGAAATGGAAGAAAAGCCAAGGCAACCTCAATTGTTTCTCAGAGACAGAATTTGGGGGATGTCATGGTGGATGAAAAAAGGTCAAAAAATAAACACAAGAGATATATACATCTCTCAATGACAACACAAGTTGACTGACAGATGTACAGTGACTCCAGAGTCTTGTTTCTTAACTGGAAAAGCGTCTGACAATAGAAGGAGGCTGTATTTGGGAAGCTTCTTAACAGGCTTTACTGATTCCCAGAACCTGATTTGACAGTGTTGACATTAAAATGCTTGTTTCTTTAACAAGTCGGCCTTGAGAACAGCAGTTTACCTTTTTTTTTTTTTTTAATGATTGGCTTATAAATACAAAGGAATCCTCTCTCTTAATGAAAGGGAGGACAAGGTTTCAGCTGTCAACATAGAGGACCTACAAGATTTGAGTGTGTTAGCTTCTGACCACAATGGTGAGCCAAGATCTGACAAGGTTTGATATTTGAATTTCTATAGTGTGAACTTGGACATAGGAAAATGTCTATTTCCAATTCTCTTAAACAGCTTAAAAACAACTATCAGAAATGCAAACTGAAAAAAAAATTAAAAAAGGAGATAAAAAAATGGAAAACCTTAAGATTATTCAGTAGGAACAGCACAAACAGAACTACATCTAAAAGCAGTGCCAGAATCTGTAACTGTGGAACATGGCTGTTTCTGTCAACTGGTTGTAAAGTATGGACATGTATTAGGTACGTACACTCTGCCCTGTGTGTTTGTGTAAATACACATGCAGCCTGTCTCTCTAGTTGACTGACAAACTCCTTTAAAAAAGAGATCATATTACCATTCACAAATACACACAAATCCTATCTATTTTAAATTTCCCTCTGTGGCAGAAATGAGTATGTCTGAAATATATGACTACTGAAGTTTTTGTCACTTTGTGATGGTTTCAGTCTAGGCCTTCCTGGAGACCAGCTTGTAACCAGGAAGGAACTAGGAAAGTGACAAAGGAAGTATTCCATGCTATTCCTTTATGTAACGCGGGGTATAAATAGGGCATAGATAAGAGAGCTTGCTCTCTTCTCTTCCAGCGAGGTTCGAGAACAGAAGATCCGTACGTGGTCCTGCTTATCTGAAGTTGAGGCCTGTATCGACTGCTGTTATCGGCCACGCGTGAGGGGAGAGCGCTGGGCCGCGTCCAGCCGTCCTGCTTCTCTCAAGGGAAGTGGTGAGATTTTCCCAGTTCTTCAGTTTGCTGGTTACCGGGTTTTTAGATCGTGTAGACCTGTTTTGTTTTTGTCCCTTTTCGTCCTATTTTGTCCTTTTTTCCCTTCTCCCTTCCCCTCTTCCCTTTGGGAATCTATTTAGGGTTTCTGGGGTTATAGATATATATAATACTCTCACTGTATATATCTGTTTTATATGTAAAATATATATTTTTGCTATAGCCTTGGCTGCTTGGTCTTTTTTCTTCCCTCTCTGGGAAGCAGACCCTGTTGTCAAGTTTCAGAGACTTAGCAGGAAGCCAGCTCGAACCTTGCACACACTTTAATAACCTACAGCTAGTATAACTACAGAACCTAATAAAGAAAATACAAAGACTCACTTAACTTTGGAAGCATTAATGAAGTTTGGCTTGGGAACAACTAGATATGTATGGATTTCAACTATTGTGATAAAACACATAATGAAATATCTTCCTCGTACCAGACCATTTTCTTCTTTTCAATATGTACTAACATGTATTTGCTACAGCACACTAAGTGTGAAAATTGAGTTGATACACAGCTGAAATAAATCCTTTTTGCAATCAATAACTACTTCAGGCAAATACCATCCATCCTCCCCTACACTCCTGGTATTCTGAAAAATACACAGTATGTGTCAGATCTGTTTTCCTGTACTGAGTGAAAAAGAAATTAAGAGCCATTCTTCAGGTAGGTAATACAGTACTCAGTAAACAACTTCAGCTGCACTTTATAACAGCAGCAGCACATTGCACAAGTTTTGAGAAGTTACTTTTCAGCACTGTTACTAGCTTCACAAGTTCTGTAATTTCTGTGAAGTAATCTACAGTTTAAGTAATACTTTTAACATGGCAGGTGTCTTCTGCCATTCTTTGGCATTTTCAAACTACTGTGGCTGACTGACCCAAAGGTGATCTCTGAAACAATGCAATTGTTGCCAAGTCCACACCTATCAACAAACAGAAACAACCCATATATTTGGAGTATTTTTTTCTGTATTATATAAATATCAGCAACTGAAGTATTTAGAAATCATCCTCACTTCAAAGGTAACACTCAGTTCTTTTCAGGGATAAGCAAGAACATGTTTCGATGTTAGTAAGTGATGGCAAAGGGAAAACGTACATGCTCAAAGCAGTTGCAAGAACAGGACCATTTCTTGCTGAGTGAACAAGCAGATTCCCTTGTAACTAAATGTCTTCTAGTTACTAAAACAAACCAAGCAAACCCTATCAATTCTCCCCCACCCCCTCCCAAAAAAAAAACACCTAAGAAAATTCACCTTGTAGTATCTTCCATCACTAGGACTTGCAGGCTTAAGTTAATGCAGCAATTAAGTCCAGACTGTTTTCTGAGTTAAAGAAAAGCCTTATGACACTGGAGCCTGAGACCTGAGTATCTTTGCCATCCTTGACATTTTTCATAGTCACAGACACTTAGGAGTTTCAGGTCACTTTTTCACATAACTAATGACTATTCTTTTCTCAGTAAAAACAAGAAAAAAAAAAAGAGATGATGAACTAGGGTGGAAAAAAAAGTTTAGAGTTAGGAAGTATTCAGAAAACATATTGGATGAAATAGTTACAGAGTTCATTCCTGTATTTACTGAATCAAACCACGGACTGTTAAGACTTCAGTCACAGACTCTCAACACAAGCAAATGATCTAGAGATCAATGACAGATGAACAAGTTCAAGTTCATAAAACCTTCAAAAGAACTTTCTCTTGAAGAAAACTAGCTCATAAACATTTAAAGGAATGCATGCAAATGCTGCATGTCTCCTACTTAAACTAAAAGAATTGGACTTTTCCTATTATAGTGAGATTAGCTCAGCTGATTAAAGCATGGTGCTAATAAAGCAAGGTTGTGGTTTCAATCCCTGGATGGACCATTCACCTAAGAGTTGGACTTGCTGATCCTTGTGGGTCCCTTCCAACTCAGAATATTCTGTGAACTCCGTGAACAAAAGTGGAACACATACCAAGATACAAATACATACCTTTGTGAGATGCGTAAACTCAGTAACAAGTTCTGCTTTCTGCTTATTTATTTCTTTGATCTTTAAATTTGCCAATTGAGATTCCTTCTCTAGATCAATAGCATCTTGTTCCAGCTGTCTTAAACTATGGGAGGAATCAATATTTGATTAATCATGATTAAAAATAAATTGTAATAAAAATACAAAAATTCTTCAACTTGATGATAAACCAATAGTTAGCAAGGATATGAATTTGTAAATCTAAACATTCCAAATACATTAGAAGCATTCCCAATCTCCTGTTTTTAAACTGAAGACATAAAAAAGACAAAAAAATTAATAGACAAACTCCAATTTTGGCTACTAACAGCATCAGCATCCCTCCACAAGCAGAGTCCTTTACTTCTGTAAATTTCAAATAAGAAAAAAAATCAGTATAAGGAATGACATTTTTCTTCTGCTCCTAGGTCTTTACAGCAATACAACATAGGAAAGTTCAGGAAGTTTGCTTATTTCTTGTTACATTTACTACCAAAAAAAAAAAACCAACTGTGTCCTCATCTTAGCACAAAAACCAGAATTTTCACTTGTCCTAAACTTCCAAAACATGTAAGAAGAAGTTCATATGAAATAATCGTGACATTTTAGTGAGCTGCAAAGCATTTGGAATTGCCAAACAGGCCAAGAGGATGATCCAGGAAACTACAAATTAAGCATTCTTACTTTGATCCCTGGAAAACTCCAGAGCAAGGCCCCTTGGAAAATAATTCTAGGGGCATAAGAGAGATGGTGATCAGGAACACTCAGAAAGCATTTACGAGGGGTACACCATACCTGACGAATCCAACTATAAAAGAATGAGGTGACAGGAGACCAAATGGTTGTCATTTACCTCAATTTTAGCAAGGCTTTCTGTTAAAAGCTGATAAAAGCTCACCTGCACACATATAAAGGAGAGACAACAGCAGGTGAGGGAAACCCAAGTAATACCCTACACCTTAGCTACTCACAGGCCCGTGACAGGAGCCAACAGTTCATGAAATGCCCATGTCTACAAGCCCAGAGGAGCACCCTGGCAGACAGGAACCCAAATTCAGAACTGAGAGGAAGGGACACCCAGTCCTGGACAGCCGCAGCACCGTCCAGGTGTGAAACCCAACAAGATAAGTCAATACCCTCTGGACTAAGGGAGTGTTGCTTCCTTGAGGTGGAACTGAATCATAGAACAGTTTAGGTTGGAAAAGACCTTTAAGATCATTGAGTTCAATCGTTACTCTAACACTGCCAGGTCCTCAACACCACCATGTCCCTAAGAGCCACATCTACATGTCATGTTACAAAACCGAAAAACCAACCAAAATAAAACAAAAAGCCACTCTGATAAAGCAGTAAAATACAGCCCTCATTTAATTTCAGGCTCTGAAATGCAAAAATATATTTGAAAAAGCTATTGCCATTTAAGTTTGCAGGGGTACCACATGGGGCTCCAAGGATGAACGAGAACATGCCTCTCTGTGCCTCCCTCTGCAAGATTAAACACCAGTCCCTGACCCTAATTCAATTGCTGGCACCACCTCCAGTGACAGTTCTCCTGGCAGAGTCACACCTCCTTCCCCACCCAATTATCATGAAATCACACGTCACAGGAAGAGATCTGCTTGTCTGTGATGGCTGCACCTGGCTGGAGAAGAGTGAGTAGGACTTAAATGACAGCCACCAGAGTGGCACCACAGGTCAGAGGTGGACATGGCGACAGCACCTGGTACAAGTGGAAGTATGCAAGAGTGTTTGATCCCTAACAAAGATCAAGCCATACTAGACAGGAAGTGGCCTGGGAGACAAGGGAGTGGGTATGTGTGTCACTAAGAGTAAGACCACAGGAAGAAATGGCTACTGGAGACCAGGGGAGTCCAGTCAGGCTGCCAGACTCCTGCCTCTACTGGTGAGACCTGCTGGCATGTGTTTGTATTTAAGGGTAAGATGACAGGGGCAATGGCTATGGGGGAGGGACTGGGCAAGTCCCAGCTACCTCTGTACATTTGTATTGCCTCAGTGTCTCTGAGGGAAGGACCATAGAAAGGGTTACTGGGAAACTACAGAGTCACAGCCAGTTCAGCGTGCGTGTACACATGGGTGAGACAATCTGTCCAAGCAACAGGAGCAGGGCTACAGCCTCAGGGGCTTGCATTCCCAGGTACCAGCCACTAGACCCACTGAGGTCCAGAGGCAATTACTGTGCAGATTCAGTGTCTGGACCCAGCTGCTCATGGGATCCACACTGCCCACGGGTACGCGCAGAAGCCTTTCTAGGGGAGCCCCACGCTGCTCAGAGAGTGGAAACATGAGGCAGCCACCGGTGCTGCATTTGTGCCATTGCTTTGTGTGTCTATGTGTGCTGTATGGTCATGTGTAAATACTTGCATGCTGTTCAGATGTGTTCTGTGTATCTGGTGGGAAGTCAGGATTAGCCTCACTATTGGATGTAAGTGGGAGGACCAAGCTGCACCAGCTCCACCTTCCCCTCAGTCTGCTTGAACCAGACTCATTTCTGTAACTTTTACAATGCTGTCTCCCACACTACGGATGTATTGAATTTTGAAGACCACAGTCTGAATTAATGAAAGACTAGATCAGTAAAAAAAGATTGTCACTCTTGAGTTTGTTAGATCCTGCCTGGAGGCCAGTATCAAATGGGGTACCACAGGACTATATTCTGGGGCCTGTCCTGTTTAACACTCCTGCCAGTGACACAACAAGCAGACAGAGGGCCCCTGTCATCACGTTTTCTGATTACACTAAACTGGGGGGAGGAATAGGCCTGCTCTTCAGAGGGATCAACAGAATGCTCATGAGATTCAGCAAGGACAAATGCAGAGTCCTGTACTGAGAAGCAGGTTGGTCTGGCAATGATACAGGTTCAGGGCAGACCGACTGCAGCAAAGTTCACAGTGAAGGACTTGGGGTATTGGTGGAACAGTGAGGAGTGCATGAGCAGGCAGTGTGCCTGGGCAGCAAACACAGTCCTTGGCTGTATGAGTGGAAGCACAGGGAGGATAAGAGTGATTTTTTTTCTCTGTTCAGCACTGCACATGGTCAATGAGTGACAGTGGTCCAAAGCTGAAACAAAAAAGACTGAGACTGGATGTCAGTGTTGTCTACTGCCTTCTGGGAGTGTGAGCTTAAATGAAATACCTCTTCAGCCATGCCCAGATTCTGCCTTAAGACAAAGCATAGTGGAAGAACTAATTGCAGAGGCCCACAAAACAAAAGAATGTTATGAAAAATGCTATGGACAATCAGGTCCAACTCAAACCACGACACACTTACTTAGTACCATTTATGTACATTATGGTATTATCTAGATATGAGCCGCTAAAACAGATGAATAGGGTAATATCAGGGGTCACTGCATGGAATTATTCAAACTGGAATCCTATGATTTTATTACAGGAAACCATCTGGAAGACTGTTACCTGGTGTCTTAGATACTGTCTTAAATCTTAACTTCTAAACACCTTACTTGTCTTGATTATCACCTGTTATCTGATGCTCAACTACTGGTTACCTTGTAAAAGCACACTGTAGTAAGAAGCCAGAAATAACTTTGTTATTAAAATGTTCATTTTGCATAAGATAATATGGCTTGTTCCCTACCTATCATACTTCAAAGCAATTTTTGATTCCAATTGTCTCCTTCTGTTTCCTCTCTCTAAAAGCTCCTTCTTCTGTTGCCTGAGCTCATTGTCTCTGTGTTCCAGATGTTTCTGTCTCTCAAACAACATAGTCAAACGCATATCCAATGACTTCGACATGTTACTGATGTCCTGAAATAAAAGAACACACATCACTAGCATTCTTACTACAAATATACCATACTAACAACATGCAAGTATGCTCCTCTTATTGCATAGTAAAATGGGTAGTAGTTCACAACATATACAGCACGGAAATAAATTCCTACCCGTTGTTGGCTTTCCAACTGTCTTCTTTCATCTGTATCCACAGAACCACTGAGAAACTGTGCTGCCCTCAGGAATGTGTTAGTAGAGAGGGTTCGATTTGTATAAGAAGATACTTTAATAATATATCTTTCTTCTGCTGTGTATATTTGCCTAAATTTGGTTTCTTGTATGACCTAAAAAACACACAAAAATATTAATCTGACAAAAGCATTGCTTAAGGCAATGCTTTTCAGAACAACGAATAAACCAAAATCCACAGTAAAAAACTTCAGCTTATGCAAGACTCTGACTTGTTAACAACCTTTGCAAAAAGATGATGGTATGTTTAATGCAGCAATATACTTGTAATTCAGACTGGTGAGCAAAGAACTGTTAACTGTTACTCTGTCATACAGCAGTTAAAAAGGTTATGACTATTACTACATTACAGACACCAGAAGCAACTGTTAATATTTGTATTGTATCATGAACAAGGATTGCACTGGCTGCAGATGCATGACATGTTACACGTGTAGCCTGTGTAACACAGAAATAAAGTACTCAAGAAACAAAAAGATGAAACCATAAAGTGAGCTGTAATGCATTATCTTCAGTCAAGTAAATGCTTCTGGAGAAATAAGGAGGTATAAAAATACTCTTTGCTACTTTTAAATTACTCATATCAAAAAGGATATGGTAAATCTTTGGTTATTTCTAATAATGCAAGGTAACACAGTACTTCAAAAAGATATAAAGACATAAAATGTCCAGTAAACCAGAAAACAGCAAAAAGCCTCCACAGGATAAATCTGACTAAAAATTTTGTTCAGTTTATATACACAGCACCAGCTGTATTCTGTTGATTTGGTTCAGTAAAGAGTGTTTACTTTGATTTACCACTCAGACTCTGGTTGACAACTGTCCTTGTTTCAGCCAAGACAGGGTTAATTTTCTGCCATAGCCAAGAAAGGGCACGGCTAAGGGGGCATGGTCCACTACCTCTCAGGTCATCAGGGAAGACATACAACATACAGGTGAACTCGTGATGGAGGGGTGTACTGAACCATGGACAGTCTCCCAGGTTATCCACAACTGTGAAACACTGCAATGAAGCAGCCAAATGAGTGAAGCCTCTGTGGTAAGGGGGGGCGACAGTCAAAATATAAATACAAAGGGCCTGGCAGACTGATTACTCAGCCGCATTCCCCTCTTGTCTACTGCAAAAAATTAACTCTGTCTTTGGCCCAAACCAGGACACTGACTTGGAACAGCATATAGATGAAAGACAGATTTAACTTCCTGTGAAGTACTGTATTAAGATAATTGAATTTGTTAAAATGTCTTGCAGTATATATTAGTCTATAATGAACTGTTCCCACTTCTAAAGGACAAATAAAAGGAGAAACAAAATCACTAAAGCAATTTTTTTGCTTTCTCCACATTAACTTGCCAAAGAATTTCTGCAATAAAACTCTAGACCACAGGTGTTTGTGCTACTTCAGATACTTTACCCTTTCAATCATGTCTCTGGTCCTCTCTGTTCCCACAGGAACTTCATGAACACGATACTGGTAACAAAGATAACTCATCACAGGACGAGGAGCATCAAATAACTCTCGTAAATATGAGAAAAATCCATATTGGCTGAAGGGAAAAAAAGCACCCATCAGAAACCAAATTTAGTAACTTCAGCTTGCTTACCTGCTAAGTCAGAAAGAAGTCCCACTAACCCAGAACTGAACTGGTCCAAAAGTCTGATTTGCATAGAAAATTCTAATACATAGCAATGGCAAAAAACCACTGCATTTAAAACCATTCCCCCAAATACAATCTGACACATACTGTAATTCCTCAATAGGTCTTGAAGGGAGGCTTTCAGCACATGATTCAGCAGGTGCGCATACAGCATTCACTCTTAGTTTCTGATGATCACGTATCTACATTAGATTTGGTAAAGAAGACCAGAAAATTTCACCACACGAAAATAAAGTATTTATTATTAATTTGCAGCATAAGAATTCTTTTAAACTGATGACCTAAGGAAGAACACACACAAATACACTCTGGCTCAGGTATAACCAAATTCTCTAAAAGCAAACCCTGTTAATGTCTCCAAGTATTATGCACTACAGGAAAACAAAAGCAATCAAATCCAGAGCCAGGTGCTCAATCTGAACGGTTAATCTGGATGCAATAAGGAAGCCCATGGTCTCAAGTTGTATAGCCATTTTGCACAGAGAATGGTAGACCACTGACTGCAGACATGCTGAAAAACCTAACCCTAACACAGCGCAGAAAAGACTGGGGATATAAATGAAACATCAGTTTAGCTAGTTAAAGCAGCCTTGCACTGGGTTCCACAACCCTGCAGGCAAGACAAGCCCTCAGAATCTCAGATATCACCACTATCGTTCACGTATATAAAAATTACTAGCTTCTGTGAAAGGCAGACCTGTGAAGGTCTTCAAAAATTGCAGGACAGTTTGTCATTAAGCACACTATTCTCTATTCTGTGGACAGTAGATAGGAAGCATTATGACAGTTTAACACCATATCTTATGGCTTTTTCCTCCTGCATCATCTACCTGGCTTTCAAAAGGAACGATCTCCTCTATGATTCAGGAAGGAGCAGTACTAAGAAAATACAAGCCTGATTTGCTACTTGGATCATTGCATCTCACAGAAGATGCTCTCTTGTCTCTTTGGTGAGAAGGCACTGCAAAATCTCAGTACTCAATTTGTAGATCCCCACTCTGGCCCATTTTCTTGTACACAGTATTTTATATTTAGCAATTATCAACTAATCAAAAGAGACAAGAAGGTATTTCTAAAAAGACATCCTTAATATTTCTGCATTCCTCTACGGAATGTTACTCTAAGATTTAAAAAAAATCTTACTGATTAAGAAAACCTTAATCCAGAAGAAAACCTTTAAACACTTTGCATTAGCTATTGTTCCAATTGAAACTTAATATTTACTTGGTAAACTCCAAAGTTTAAGGCTCCTACATCAGTATTTAATCAATTTTTAAAATGGGTCCCAACTTGCCTCTACAAGAAACACTTCCATATCTTCTTGACTCTCAAAAACAAAAGCCCTCATGTCATCGCTTGAAATGTGGTTTTCAATATATTTAGCATGTCTACTGTCTCTTGGATTGATCTAATAAAAAAAGATAATGAAAAATTATTTAATACAATTGGACTTATCACCCCAAAAAACATTTTAAATAATCAAGATGATATGCATGCCTACATTTAATGAAAACAAAGAAAGTATCTTTAAAAATACATTCCCTGCCTTTTTTGCAACCAATTCTCTTGGGAAGAAATCTACTGTAAGTCATAGGTTATTGTGCTTAGTTTTTAGCCATCCATATCCTTCTTCAGCACACCCAAAGCTATGACCTCTCTCCATACCACCACTCCCTCCTCTGCTCCACCCTAACCTTACAATTGCAACCACCTCCATCTGATGTCTAATGGCCCTGGCTCCAGTACTACTAAAGCTTTCTCAGGGTTCAGAAACAATCAAGCTGAGGAATTAACAAGCAGAAAATACCACACTCCACAAATTGTTCATACGAAGTTCCCCTTAATTGGATACTGTGAAGATCAACTACAAGTAGAGAAAAGTGAACCACTGGCCAGATAGATTTTTGAGACAGGCTGAATTGTCTTTGAATTCTTTAAAAAAAAAAAAAAAAATCCATGTTAAATGGATGAAGCTTGTCATATCTGAAATGTTAATGTATTTTTCAGTTAACTCTCACTAGTAATTAGACATTACGTCACTTTACATAACACACAAAGGCAAAATTAGACAGACCTACACAATTTAATAACCTCAAGTCAGCCAAAGGCTGGGTACAGTTAAAAGCAATTTGAAAGCTAGAATTTTTAAGTGCATGAGACTAACTTACATACCAAGTATGCTGGTTTTGGTTGGGGTAGAGTCAATTTTCTTCACAGTGGCTAGTATGGGGCTCTGTTTTGGATTTGTGCTGAACACAGGGTTCATAATACTGAGATGTTTTTGTTATTGCTGAGCAGGGCTTACACAGAGCCAAGACCTTTTCTGCTCTTCGTACTGCCACACTGCTGAGTAAAGTGGGAGACTGGCAGGAGACATGGCTAGGACAGCTGACCGTGACTGACCAAAGGGATGCTCCATACCATATGAAAGCATACAAAGTATAAAAAGTAGGGGGAAGAAGGAGGAAAGGGGGACATTTGGAGAAATGGTGTTTTGTCTTCCCAAGTGTTGTGGTTTAGGAACAGTAGTCTCCAATTTAGTAGTCCCACTAAAACCATGCTGCCACTCCTCACTTTCCCTTCCCTTTCCAGCTCCCACAGGATGGAATTGAAAATTGGAGGTACAAAAGTTGAAAATCAGAAGTTGAAAAAAAGAATAATTTATGTGAACAGCAATGAGATAAGAAAATGAACAGTAACACCCCCAATATTAATTACAGAAGGTGTAAGAGACCATTTACACCGAAAGTCTGCAACAAATACTGACTGGTTCTTCCCCATCACTCTTCCTCCTGACCAGAAAGGGACACCCTTCCTCTCAGAAGCAGAGAAAATCTTTTTTCCATCCCTGGCAATGACATGAGGTGGGATCAACAACATTAGGGTCTGGCCCCTCAGCCACACCTCCTCTCAGCTATTGCAAAAAATTAACCCTGTCCTTGACTGAAACCAGGACATCAAGTCACCATTAGACGTGATGGGGCCATGCTCTCCTGAAGGCTGAACACCTGCCTGCCCACAGGAGGCAGTGAATTAATGCCTTATTTTGCTTTGCCTGTGTGTGCAGCTTTTGGTTTCCCTATTAAAGTATCTTCATCTCAACCCACAAGTCTTTAGGCTTTCACCCTTCTGATTCCTTCCCTGATCCTGCTGGGGGGGGCGGAGAGTGAGTGAGCAGCTGCTGCATGGGGCTTGGTGTTGTCTGGGATTGAACCACAACACAAAATAAAATTTAGACATCAATGGATGTTACAGTATGTAATGTGACCTTAAAGTTAAAGCAAAGGCATCCTATCAAAGCATTTGTAAAATTAACTTGATGTGGTCTTCCAGGAAGAATTGAAATTCTGGTAATAACAGGAAATACTTGGGATTCTATACTAAACAAAAGTAACATTGAACAGTCCTAGTGCCTGTACAATAGTAAGAATTGATATACAAATATTCTAATATACTTATTTAAATTGTAGCAATACACTATTAAATAAGCTTGCAATTCTGATGAGAAGTGCACTGGAGATCTTCATCCTCTTCACATTACATGGGGCATATATAGCAAGATGCTGGGATAGTGATCGACTAATACACTAAAAAAATAAATAACTCTATATCCTCTTTGAAAATTTATTCCTGCTATTCCTAGCTAGTACAGCATCTGTCAAACCAAATCAAAACGAGGGATGGATCACATGTTTCTGTCTGTAGATGGCTGTGTAAAGCAAACCAAAAAGATACCTGGGGATCACAGAAACGTAACCATAGCTGAGCAGGTTGTGCTATAAGCGGAGATATTAAATTCCAATATCACTGCTTTCCTAAGCATCAAGTAAGAACTACTGAAGTCTAAATAACTGGATGCATCTTAGAGGAAATCTGCAATAGACACTTTCTTGAGGAGGGAAGGAACCATCCCATCTTAATGTTGAGAACCACAGTATTGGCTATGAATTATAATTACAAACAGTTAATCATGCTAATGTATCCTGCATGTAGTTGGCAGGACATTCCAAGGTGTGTCTTAAAAGTTTTTGAAGTCATTCTCCAAGTCTTGCAACACATAAATAATCTAACCATTAACTAGTCAGTGATATGCAAGTAAATTTTCTTACTTCAAGCATCATGGGTTCATAAACTTTTTTTTTAAACTTGTCTTTGTTCTTTCTTAGCCACATAAGAGCAGAGTATGTGTCCAGGAATTTCCCTTTAAGGTTCTCCTCCTTCATTTTCATTATATTATTAAGTTGTCCAAGGTGATCAATTATTCCTGTAATTTAAGATAGTTTCTTAAACACAGTCCATTGCAAGTACACACTGTAACTAGCATTTTCGGGTATTTATTGACTGTGCTACTCCAAAAAGAAGGTTGTTAGTAAATGCTAAGAACTAAGTTTCTCTTTCCAGAATTGAGACTCTGCTTAAAGAAATCTTAAGAACTATTAAGGCTTAAAGACTAAAATAAAGTTAAAACTTTAAGAATAACAAAATGTGGTAGCACAGTAGAAGTACAGGCATTTCATCGTAAAAGTATATTTCTTCAAGACTTTGTTTTTTAAATACAATGATAGAATAAAACATCCCAAGAGAAAAGAAGCAGCGGGGCAAGTAACATAAATACCTGTGTGTTATTTCATGCTTGAAAAAAAACAAAATGTGTGACAATAGACTCTGTGTGCTAGTCAGCAGAAACAGATCAAATAGTTTCTGTGCTGCTCAAGAGAAAATACAGTGTCTCCCTCCCAAGATCTCTTGGACTCACTGTACCTCAGTTTCTTCTTGGATTCTATGACAAGTTAACTGCCAGACATATGGGTATGTGCAAATGAGCTAAATTCACTAAGGAATATATCCAACATCTCCAACCTGACAAGTTTTAGGTTTTGAATTTTGTTTCTCAGAAAGAAATAATTGTAAATTCTAGGCTAAAGAAGCTTTCTGTAATTAAGGTTACCTGAAGTTCATCTAGAAAGGACAAGTGCTGCATCAGTAGCTAATGTAGAGATAAATATATATCTCTATTTATTAAAGAGATAATTGTAAAAACTGCCTCTTGAAAGAAAATTGCTTTTATTTTTGCATCCTACTAACTACACACCTTCCTTTAGTAACCAAAAAAAACCCAAAAGGAGTCCCCTTACCTGAGATCAGAAACACTCCTTTTTTGGAGAATAGTTTTAAGGTCAATTGTTACTTTCGAATCTTCTCATTCTATTTTGAAAGTCTTATCTGTTACTTCTAATAAAACAGGAGAGAAGACTGCTATACACATATGCCAACTATGAGGCTTGAGGTAGACACCTGAAATTATTTCACTACAGCAGGAAAAGTAGATTCTGTACAGTCATTAACACAGTAAAATAAAGCAACAAACAAAAACCCAAGTAACTTACTTTTCTCTTCTCTCTCTTGATTCCTTTTCTCTGCTCTTAGATCATTGATATCACTATCAATATTTGTCCTTTCTTCTTGTAATTTTTTCAGCTCATTATTAACAGCATCAATTTGTGGCTGAAGATTCTCACATACTGCCATTGTATTCAGCTCATTCTTCCACATCTCTATTATCTCCTGAGTAGTGAATATTTTCTTCTGTCTGTCCATTTCTTCATCTTTTTTCATTCTCAGTGCTTGCTTAATTTCTTCAATCTAAAAATTTTGAGTATTTTCAATAAGAAAGGAGTTTAGTATATAGAGCCTAGTCTATAAATATATATATACACAAATGTCTAGGATACTTGTACAACTGGTATTAAATGCTGATATAACCATGCAATAAACCCCTAAGAGTCTGTTACAATTCCAATAGCACTATGACAGTTGAAGTACATAAGCAAAAATACAATTAGGCCCTTAAAACAATTATTGAAGTTCCTTCATTTTCACCAAAGCATAAGCCTTAAGCTTAACATATTCCTTAACACATCAAAAAGTTAGTATGTGATTAAATAAAACCTCTAGCACAAACACAACTTTGAAATTTTGACTCTGCACCCTTACATATTTTACTTAACGCATTTCTTGATCAAGTGCTTAGATTAAGCTCTAGCACTGGTTAACATCTTTGCATTTTCTTTTGAAGAGATGCTGGATGTATATACTTACCAGAAGCAACTACCTCACCTCTCACACAGAGGGTCTGAGGGCATGCATAATGCCGAAGGCATCACTACAGAGACTGTAGCTTTTCAAGGAAAGCCTGTCATATATAGTGTGTTTATACACCCAAATTTATACACACACATTGTCTATTCCTAAGTTCACTACACCAAGGCAACTCATTTTATGTAGCATACACACGTCCCTTAGTAATACCTGTTTGACTAACAGGAGTTTTGAAGATTCCTTGTGTACTGGAGGAAGTGAACTGTGCCAGCACTTGCAGCATCTTCATGGAAATGTGCCACTCCACTAACCGAAGAGCAGACAAAAAAACCCAGAGAAACACCAAAGAAAGTCACAAATATCAAGACTTTTACCTTTTTTTCTTTCATCTCCAAAGCATCTTGCTTCTGTTTAATTCTCTGGGAAATCTCTATGATTTTAGCAGTCTGCATACAGAAAGGTATTTAAATTGTAGTCATAAATTCAGTTATACTTGTAATAAGCAGTCATATTTTAAGCAACATTCTGTATAACATAACTAAGCATTCACTCCATATTTTACTACTGACAAAGTAACTTACAGTTTTTTATTATTCTTAACTGTATCCGTAACACATGTAATTTCAGCAATTTGTGAAGAATTTAGAATGGCATGCAAACTGTTCACAACCATTCAGCTATAGATCTGCCAGTTCAGGCATGACATATAGAGGAAGTGTCCTAACCTAATCTGAAATTAAAGTAACTCCATCCTTGATTTCAAAAAATGTTATATATTCAGATCCTTACAATTATAAAGTGTTCTTGCCCCTTTTTCCAAACCAACTTTACCAAAGAAAGGTGATACTTAAGAGCAAGCAAGGCACGAGTTCCTAGACACAAGATGGCCAAACAGAATTTGACAGTCATCTTGCCTCCGAAGTGGACTGTGCTGAGGTTATACCCTACACAGCTGAGCTTGACAACTTGGTGGCTCATGTGTAGGCATCCATGTCTATACTCTTCCTCTATCTGCAGATTCTATAAAAGTGTAGAATAATAGAGATCGGAAGGAACTTTCTGGCAACTCCTAGTCCAATTCCTTTCTCAGACTAGGTTTTATTAGTGCCCAGGCACTTACACACCTGAGTTCTGAACACAGTGGAGTGTACTATGCTTTCTCTGCAAACTTAATTCCTCCTTTCATAAATCCTCAAGGCTGAAAACAGTGCAAACAGAATACTGGAACACTACAGAAGGACGGAAGGACTGCAAGAAAATTCCAGTGCAGACAAGGAAACAAACACAGCACTCTCATCAGAGGACACGTCTTCCTACAAACCGAGTCATACTGAAAATACCAAGATGCATCAAGAATGGAGAAAATAGAACTGTGCAGAATCTTCTCCCTTCCACAGTCTCAAAGATACACAAAAACTTGACTCAGACTCTACAGCTGTTCGCATGAAAGCAACATGGAACAAATACATCTTGGTCTTGCAGTTGACTGCTATGAGGTACTGATTCTGTGATGTTCTCTACAAAGAGCATCTGAAGAGGAAGCTCTCTCCTAGGAAATTGATGCACAATGTTCACAAAACAATTCTGAAGGCTCTCAAAAATCAGGACACTATTAAGGAACTGAAATTCCATTTTTCAATTATTATATTTTCAGTTATTATATATTTATATATACATCTACCCTACAGAAAAATAACTATAATTTGTCTTTATGATTTTCATGGTACAGCCACAACAGACTGCTTTATATTATTAAATATGGATAAAAAATTGCATTTCAGAGTCAACTGGTTTCATATACCTTTAAAGAGACTGAACTAGAAACTGTTCTAGACTTCTCTTACACAATTCTATCAGCTCCTTCCTACAAAACAGGTCTCTTCCTTTTTTCCCCACAATCTACACATCCAACGATCCCAAAGCACCAATTCTGACTAGTAACTTTTAATCTAACCCAATAATCAAAAGAATTTTAACACAGGAAGAGACAGGAACAAAAGTCATGTGATGTCTTGACACACTAATTTCTTCCCAGATTTAGCTCCACCTTTACTTTCAGTTCAGCTCCTTCCAGGCAAAATTTTAACTCCATGCCCAGCTTTTTACCAAAAAAGACAAAACAAAGAGATGGTTGATCTCTGCTCTCACATATATACCCTCAAGCCAAGAGCAAGATCTCAAGAAGCAGTCAGAATTACAGTTACTTGATAATGGATACAAACCTCGACCAAAGGGTCTGAAGACCATTCCCTACAGGTCTGTGTGCCCAAAATAGAGCAGACTTAAAATACTAAACTGCTTTTGACATTTAGCTTGAAAAGGAACTCCTTTTGGGTCAAAATAGTTACACTTTTCCTATAATAAAATCATTCATTAATCCGCTCCTGTTTGCTTACAGAAGAATTATCTATGAAATGCTCACCAAATGCTTGCACCTACAAAGATGGAATTTCAAGTTACAAAAAATTCTAGCAGTCTACGAAAAAGTGACACACTAATGAAGAAGTAGCAACTTAAACAATTTTAAGGTATGGTATTTAAAACTCTTGTGAAACTCCTGACAGTGCAACCAGCACTGATTCTCCTTTAAGAAGGCATTCTAACAGCCTAACAGGAAGGTTATGCAGAAGGGAAATGTATTTCAGCACCCGAAGAAAAGCTACTGTCACAAAAATTCACAAAGTAGCAATACTCTAACATCATCTTCACTGGCCTACTATCTTACAAATTGTTCATGCCATAATCAAGTATATAATATATTCCCTTAATTCTTTTTCCACAATTCTGGACTGTAGGCATCCAAGATAGAATAATCATAATTCAAATTAGACCTGGACACACTATTTAACACCAGAACAAAACTCAGATTTGGAAACATCTTACTATAATATTACATATAGCATAATATCAGCTATAAATTAAATACAAAATGGTAACTAATGGTAACTAATCACTGGAAAGTAGTATTAGAATATCACATTTAATGTAAATAATTTATAGAAGACTTACTGCAATATTCCAATACTGCTTTCCACTTTTGGCTTCTGAAATATTGCAAACAGATGTACCTAATCCATTTTCCGGGCCCAAACTAAACATCATTTCAGCATACAGTTAACTTTGTGAACATTTTGTATGTGAAAGCTTTACTCCACAGGTTTAGATTGAGCAGAAAAATATGCTGATTCAAGAGTATAAATCAATCATTCCCCAGTTTTAGTTCCACTTTGTACAAAGCAGCCTATGCCAAGCAAGCTCTCTGTAAGTTAAAACTAAAACAATTCCTGTTTTGTCCCAGGTTTCTCATACAGAGTACAAAAGATCTACAGAGGATAACTTTCACATGACTATAGACCAACACTTCCAAGAACAGTGGTACCAATGGCTGAGTAGAACTCTTTCCTGTTTGAAGACATATTAGTACGACATTCATTAAACTGAAAGATGAGTAAAACCTAGCAGGACAACACCAAGCAGTGAAAACAAAGCTTAGCAATTCACAAGCATGAAGGTTCTTACTGCATATGAAAATTAATTTCAAGCTTCCAACTGTTAACGTTCCTCTAAGGAAGAGCAAAACTTTAAACAACAACAAAAACCTTCAAACAAAAAACCTAACCACAGCAAAAAAGTCCACTTCAATAAAACTGCAACATTTTTAAACATTTAAGTATTCTGAATCACAGTATAATAAACTTTTGCAGTAATGTGGTACACAAAATCCAAAGAATACATTTAGCAAAAGGCTTTCCTAATAATAACAATAATAGTGAGGTACTTGTGTAAATTATATTTTCTGGTACAGTGTGTATCATAACAAAACAGCAACGCTGTGAACAACAATCTCTGGATTTTGTTTGTCTTTTTTTCTGGCTTGGTTTTGGATCTCTTTTTTGTTTGGGGCAAGGGTGTTTGCCTTTTTTTTTTTCTTTTTTTAAAGCAACCACGTGCATGGCCCAGTAGCTCACAGAGTGGTAAATGTCACTGAAGTTTCAGACTCTGATTCTACAAGATGCTTCAAGGCAGCAGTTCTCTACAGGTGTCACATGTCTCCATATCAAGTCCTCTGATCTAATCTGTTATCTTCAAAAAGAACTCACTGCAGTGAACATTCTCATGTTATCATTTATCTTCAGTCATCCACTAAAAATTCGTGCAGCTCATGCAAACAATGACTTCTGCAGTCTCAATAGTATATAGCAGTTAAAACTCTGCAGAGAATTACAGTACTATTTTTCACATAGAAATAGTAATCTTCCATAAACTCTGATAGCAGCTATCCAAAAAACAGGCAGTAGGTTGTAACATATAGGTAGGTTTATCATTACATTCCCTTATGCATAAAAATATTCACAACCTATGGAGGATTACTGTGTCCTCATGGAATGACATTCAATATTAAAGGAATGTGATAGGTCAGAAAAGCTGTAATTTAGCTTAAATTAACTACCCAAACTGGCTACATTTTAAGAGGATAAGAGCATCCACAAACCCAAACCACAGATGAAAACAAGCATCTAATTCAACAGAAGTACCTAACTTGGGGAAACTGTTAACATTATATCCCTGAAGATTTTGAAGGTTCTGTGAAAAGAATTATAAAAGTTGCTCCTACAAAACCAAGAGCAGACTTTCAGAGTTGCTTCTGAATTTTTACTAAGGAATGTATGCCTAGAACACAGATAGGAAGGCAACAAGAATCAATGGCACAGGTGCTTCAGAAAAGTTTCTTCTGAAACACATCATTATGACACATGAGAAAGTAAGCAGTTATTACTTGACATTTCACAAAGCTGAACAAAGAACATCTGAAATATAACACATGTTAACCAAGAATTTCAATACCTACATTATCTCTTGTTTTCAAATCCAGACTGTTCAAATTTTCTTCAGCTTCTCGGATTTTTTTTGCCCTTGGGAACTGTCTTTCTTTCAGAATCTCCAGGTCTTTCTTGGCTTTGTTTCTGCGCTGTTTCACTTCCACATACTGCATACGAACATTTTCATATTCCTTGGAGGAGTTGAAAGCAAAATAATTAAAGACTTCCGTCTTCTACTCCAGTATTTTATACTGCCCTAACGTTTTATTTAATTATGAGTTTTAGGAGAAAGATCTCTTTCAGAAACTAGTATTAAAACAACTACTTAAGTAATCCTCCTGTTACTAGTCACAATGACTAGGAGTTGTAAGGATTACGTCCCCAGTGAAGAACACACATTAATTGGTTCTTAAAAAACATGCAATTCAAGTTGCAGGAGAAACAACCAATTTGTCTGCAGTTACCTTGCCTCTAAGTCCATCTGGGATCGATATGGAAAAGTAATTCTTTAGCCCCTTCTGTCCATAATTTGAGACTACTTAAGCAGAAGTCCTCAAGCTAAGGAGCAAATAACCACAGACAACTTCAGGAGAAAGAAAAGGAAAGGAGCTGGCCAGATCAGACCTGGTAACATACATAACTCTGCTGAACTAAACAAAGAGGACAGAGTAGAACAGAACTTCAGAAAACAAACAAAAACTCCACCATACATCACAAATACCAAAGAAGTAACTATCTAGGAAGTTTAACTGGAGATACATTCCTGAAAGGAAAGATATGGTAAGAAGTATGGTGACCAAGAATTTCCACTTCAAGAAGGTAGGAATTTTGAGGAGAAAGCAGTTAATACTGAAAGAGTTATTATCAGTGATTTTTTTTTTTATGTGTTATGCTCTCTGGAGGAAAAAAAGAGGATGGAAAAAACCCCAAACAAACAAAGAAACAAAAGAACTTTACTGCTCCAGGACTGTTAAGGGTTCGTGAGGAAAAAAGGTGCTCAGAGGACCAGAGGGAGGAGGAGTAGATTCATGTACACAGGGGGATTGAGGAAGGGAGAGCTGTTTGATTTTGTATACACTACAGAAAGTCTCTGATTTAGAGCATATGCCTAGCTTATTCCAAGCCTTGGAGTATTAAAATAATAATAGATAAAAACAGCCTGGAAGCTCTATCTGTAACAGCTAACTCGGCTTTATCTGCTACCGCGTTTTCATAGTTACTGAATTACCCTGATTAATCACAAATACATCAACCTAGGTTATAAAATTCAAGGTCTTTTTTCATAGCGTCTTTTTCATAAAGCCAAAAAGTATTTGAAGAAAGTTGCTGTAACTGATGTGGAATATGATCAGTAGCCAGTGTTACAAAGTTACAGAGGTAAAGCATCATACTTTCACTAGGCTGAAAGAATAAGCTTAAAATTTTGCTCTGCTCTAAAGAAGTTATTATGTTTCAAGGTTAAAGCAAATATACACACATACAATTACACTTCATTTCTTCTTAGAAGTTGTCATGACATCGCTTTTATACAGTGTATCACTTTATCACTTAAGAAAACTTGACTTTCACAAGACCTCTATATTTCAGTAATCCTTAAGCAAATAACTTTGATCCTTGTAATTATGTACCCTGTTAAAGATCTGCAGAACTTCTAAAGCACTTCAGCACCCCCAAGAGATTTGCATGTTAATCAGAGAACAGTATTTTTCTTAATTGTAAATGTCAGAGGAGGAAAAGAATGGACATGGCTTGGTCAAAACACATTTTCAAACTTATGTGTTTCCAGAACATTTACAGCAGCAGGCAGAACAGCATTTCCTGCCATTAAACTACCTTAAACCAGTATTCCTTATGGTACACCACAACCTTAACTTTAAGCTTAGAGTGATAAGAAACCCCTTTTCTGTAAGCCTCTATAAAAGCAGGATTATCCGTGTCAAACAAAACCCCCTAGGTCCTGCAGCACTGATGGTAGATGGCACCATCGCTTGATGTAAGCAAGGTACACACAAGAACATAAAGCATCCCCTAAATCCTTTAATGTTGTACTCCTATGGTCCGTTCTATGCAATTTAAAGCATGTGTTCGAAAGCTTATTAGGCAGACATCCATAAAAATGGTGCATAATTCTCAAAAGAGAAACCATTGGTGCTGTCTAGAGAAAAATGCTTGATTAGAAACATGTTGCTCAGGTGAAGAGCAGTAGAGTCTTCAGAATAAAAATGCACTCCGAGAGTGGTCAGAACATAAAACAAGTTCAGCACTAGATATCCCCTTTTCCATTAGGGTCAAGAGATTGTCTAATGTCATATTTCAGTTAGCATGTTTTCAGGCTGCCTGTCTTCCTATTTCATAACATAATGCAAAGTTTATACATCTCCCTCCCACTGATTTGGAGGCTCACTTACAGCTTCTGTTTTCTTACAGAGGTAAATCTAAACAGCTAGGTGTGTTTGGTGTGCAAGTAGAAACCTCCCTTTTGGAGAGGATGGAGGAGAGAAAACACCCACTCAAGGAAGAATAAACTCCCATACTACCCTCAACTTTGGTAAACCCAATTTGAAGACACCAAAAACATTTATTCTTAGGATTACACAGTGCTAGGTCAGACAACAAAGAAACACGCACTTTTAAGACAATGCATTTCTTCTTTTAGAGAAAGCTTGATATTTTGCAATGTAGGAGAATAGCAAGAGTTGGACAAATGACAAAATGGCAATGAAATGTGAAATTTTGTTGCAGCCCATAGTTCAAATATCCTCTACCTAGTAAAATAATTATGTTGATGATGACTTTCGATTTCAACTGTAGATTATGCACAAGGAAGTGACTTCTACTAAAACATTCTAGTATACGCTACTGAGCCCTTATTATAAATCAGAACTTAACAAAGGTGTCAAAACACACTGTTGTTTCTACGGATTCAGTGGCCAGAAAGTTAAATTTATCTCAACTAAATGCACACACCAAAAGCATTTAACATACTGAGCAACACAAACTGTCTAGAAGACAGCACTGGGAGTAAGGTGTGAAGGAGTTTCACTAAATATGCTTAAGAAACATGTAACTAACAGTAATGTTCTCAAACTTATGGAAGGCAATTTAACTGACAGCAGATAAAATTTCCTAGTTTAGTTCTCCCCATGCCACTTTCCAACCAGCCTTCAGAGTCCTGTATATACAAATATCTTAGAGAACAATCAGTATCAATCTACATTAACTACAGAACACCTATACCTCTCTTAATAAAATAATTCTCTTGTTAACTCAGTCAGTTAACTCACTGTTAACTAATGTATCTGCAGTACAAAAACGTTGCATCATTCAGCAAGTGCTGACGTCACAGAATGTATACCCTACTTCCTACCTACCACCATCCATCTATTTCAACTGCTACTCCTCTGTGCTGTTACTAAAAAGATTAAGGCAGTGATGGTACATCCCTTGAACCCAGTTGCTCAAGATGCAAAGGCTGTGTACAGTTTTTTATATATAGCCATGAGGCTTTGTTATATGCAAAATTGCAACAAAATAACTTAGAAAGCTTTCCACATTCTCCACAAATAGTATATGCAAGTTTTCTTGCAAGTTCTGTAACTCTATTTCATGAAGTCTAGAAAGCTTGCCAATGAGACAAACATTTCAGTAAACTGAAATCCACATCAGTTTAAACTCTTTAGAAAAATTTAATCTGACCAACCATTCAACACTAAACTACAATTATCGAAGTGCTGTTCAGAAAGACCTTGTTTTGTGTAAACAACCTGTTCTTGATTCTAGGCTCTTTTAAATTTGTTTTAAAATTTCTATCTGTCCAAAAACTAACATTTTTGAGATTGGCAACCTAAATTCAGTGTTATGTATGTCATGTACACCAAACCTCAACTAAAAAATTAAGGTAGAATGCAATCTGTAAAAATAAAAACCCTAGCAAAAATATGGAAAAACAAAGTTACAGCAGGAAGAAGCAAGTACAACTGGCTAGCACTTAAATTAAACCAGTAGTGTCTGCACACAATAAAGTACTGCTCCTGGCCTGTATTGTTGGCTTCCCTAAATGGGCAATAACTGCTTGAATTACTTCTGAAGCAACTTCTTCAGTCCAGCTAGATATGTAAGCAAACATCTGATCACAGTTAGGCCAAGAACAGTATTTCAAGACCTGACTTGTTGTCTGCATTAAGCAATCATAGTGATATTCAAGCCGCTCTGGTCAAACTTCTTTTAAAGCAACTTTTGGCCTATTCCCAATGTTGGAGTATTACAAAAAATGGGTTAGGCAAGGAAAACACTGAAAATAAAAAAAACTTACCAACCAAGGCCTTTTCCTCTCAAGCATCTCTATCAAGTCTATGTGGCTCTTGTGCTCTAGGTATCTGTCAACATCTTGCTTGTATCGTTCAATCCTCTGTTTCATTTTCTCCAATGAGTTAGTTTTTTCTCTGCACAAGTGCTGCAATGTAAGCATCTATTTGGTGAAAACATTTCTCAGAAACAGTCCACATCTCACCTGTATGTTAAAGCAGAAATTTAACACTAGAGGGGACATTTTAGCACAGCAGTAAACAGAGGGGTACAATCCAACTCGGAACAGTTGTCCTGTGTCTCTTCCAAGGGAGAAGGGCTTCCTTCTGGTGGAGCTAAGCCCAGCACTGGCTCTGAGCTGGCGGGAGCAGTTGGGTGGCTGCTGGTTCTGAGCCAGAAGTGGCGTGGCTGTGGTCAGGTCAAGCCCCATGGTGAGCATTTTTGCATGTGAATCACTTTCTCTTTTGTACACTTTTGTTAATAATATCAGTGCTGTTACTGTTCATTTTATCTCCCTGCTGTTTCCAGCAACTTCTTCTCATCTCGACCCCTGATCTTGTGCCTCCAATTCTCTCCAACCACCTGCATGGGGAAGAGGAGAGGGGAACAAGCGAGCAGCAGTGTGGTTTGGAGAGTCTCAGTGGGGCCACTAAATTGAGGAGTACCATTCCTAAACCATGACAACCATATACTTTCTGTGAAAATAAAGCTAATTCAAACAGAAATCCTAATCTGAAGAAAATTCATGTTGGTTTTTTTTAAATTTGCTGAGGAAATTAATCCTTGAAGCTCAAGCCTTCATTAACCTATATGTTTCTAAACATCTAACATCTAACTAGTTTTGATAAATACTACTAGCAAAAATGCTTGTAAAAGATCATATAGAAATAGGCAACAGAAACAACAGGGTTAGTACGAGAGTGTAACACATATGAATGAAAATGCACAAGTATAAGCACAAGAAGACACAGCAGAAGAAAGGATTAAAAGAATGGCCTGCATGGCTAAGAAGAGACACTGTTCCCAGAATACTGTTCCTTTTCTTCTTTGTCTGTTCCTTTCTATGGAAGTTTAAGTCAGCAAGATTAAAGCAAAGGACCATCCTGAAATAGCTGATGACTTCTAAAAGACATAAAAGGATCTGTCCAAAAAAGTTGCTGCCAGTCAAGAATTCCAAAGAGATACGTATTTGACATCCCTTGTACTCTGTGTCCAGATCACTTGCACACGTGTCCTTGTACTTACAAGCACGGGAGTGTCAGAGGAAATGAATTCTGAGAGAAGATGAGCATTATTTGGTAAAATCAACTTACAGACTTGGGAAATAAATATCACCTTCTAATTCTGTAAGATCTCAAGTTTTATCATGATAATTTCCCTCCAGTCACTGCTCTGTCTCTACATAGTGCATATTTACCTCCAGTTCTCTTTCCCTTTCTCGGAAGCTTTTTAGTTCACAGTGGAACTGGTACATTTCTCGAGAACCAATCGATTTTTCAGTGGCTTCAAGCAATTCGATCTTACTCAGTTTTGCAAATTCTCCAACTCTGTCCTACAAAATGAGAAAAAAGTTACAAAAATACAGGATTAGCTAAAACAGTGCAATACAGTAATACTGGATTTATATCCTGTAACCTACTTCTCATGAACATCACCTGACTTACAGTTCTATGCCAGATAGCTCTGGCACAGTTCATTACCATCTCATAGAGTAGCAATCCCGCTCTTCTAAACATTTGTTCTCAGGCTGCTCAAGCTACACCTTTGCAGCAGGAATGCTATGACTAACTCAAAAGCTAAGCCACACAGAAATGAATATTAAAGGTGGCAGCCAAGGCTACCAGGAAGTATTGCTGCTGTGTAAGGGCAGAAGAACAGCTCAAAACCAAGACTGAAGCAAAAGGTGTGCTTGCCATTGATACAGTGGCAGAGAACAAATAAACCCTATCAACACATATTACTGACTGAACTGACATTTATGTACTGAAGAGAAAAAGTTGTTTTCGGTACGAAGTTATGTTAGCAGAGTATGCTGAAAGTCCTACTCTAAACTGGCAATTTGAGACATCCGCCAGCTGCTTGTAGAATAATTCATCATCCTCTTCATTCTAATTGGGTGGTCTATAACAGACTCCCACCAGCATGTCAGTCTTATTGGCTTTCCCCCTGATTCTGGTCCACAGGCACTCAACCTTATCGTTACTGACTTCAAGTTCTATAGTCAAGAGACTCTCTAACATACAGAGCCACCCCTCCACCTCTCCTACCCTTCTGAAGAGCCTGTAGCCATCCATGGTAGCATTCCAGTCATGTGAGTCATCCCACCACGTTTCTGTGATGGTGACTGCATCATAGCTTTCCTGCTGCACGATGCCTTCCAGCTCCTCTTGTTTGTTGCCCATGCTGGGTGCACTGGTGTACATGCACTTCAGCTGGGCTGCTGATTTCACTTCTAAACTTGGCTTTCCACCCTGAGGCTCATCTCTGGAGAGCCTGGTTTCAACCCCTTTCCCCTTCAAACTTAGTTTAAAGCCCTCCTGATCAGTCCCGACAACTTATGGGCTTGAGTCCTTTTGCCCTTGCTAGATAGATGATGCCCATCCGACTCTTGCAGGCTGGGTATGATAGAATTTGCCCTGTGGCCAAAAAAATCAAAATTCTGCCGGTGGCACCAATCTTTTAGCCACCTATTGATAAGATGGGTTTTCCTACTCCTCTCCTCATTCATCCCTGCTACCGCAGGAAGTGAGGCAAACACCACCTGTGCTGTTGTCCCATTACCTAATTGACCCGGCACCTTGAAGTCCTTTTTAATTAGCCTAGTACCTCTTTCAGTATGGTCATCACTGCCAGCCTGGAACACCAGCAGTGGATAATCAGAGGGCTGGATTAGCTCAGGGAGTCTTCTACTAATATCCCTCAACCAGGCCCCAGGAAAGCAGCAGACTTCCCTGTGGGATAGGTCCGGTCAGTATATAGGGCCTTCAGTTCCCCTCAGAAGAGACTTGCCTTCTACAGTTACCCTTCTTTTTTTCTTTATAGCTGTGGCTATAAGTCATCTACTAGATGGGGTGCAAGTGGGAGACCCTCCAGACAGATCCTCTTCTTGACTGTCCTCTGCCTGACTCTCTGGGTCCAGGACCTTATACCTATTCTTTAAGGGCAGCATGGGAGGTGATGGGGGTTGGCGGGGGATTCTTTTATCTCTACGACTGGGGACCTGTTTCCATTCCCCCCCCATCTACTTGGTTTGCTCCGTCTGCCTGATGGCAGGAGGTGCAGGAGGTTGACAGAGTGTGACTCCACCGGTCTACTTCCCTTTCACTTTCCCTAATACTCCTTAGGCTCTCCACTTCTTCCTTGAGCTCTGCCACTAAGCACAGCAAATCATTCACCCGCTTGCATCATACGCAGGCGTCTCTCGCACCGTCCTCTGGTACTAACGCCAGGTTCAGACATTCCCTACAGCCAGTGGCCTGAACAGCTGTGCCCTTCTTGAGGGGTTCTGTCTGGGTTAGCACACTCCTCCTGATATCAGCAGCAACGGCTTTCACTCGTTTGGAAACCATTGCTGGGTCGAGTTGAGTTGTGGAAGAAAAAAAGAAAAATACCCAGAGCCACACACCTACCTCACAACTCACCAGAGACAGCTGGGAGGGTGGCTGTGCCCTTCCTGCTCGCCCTGCCTATGCAAACTGCCATGCCACGCCCCTGTTTGCCCACTCCTGTTCACTGTGCCCCCAGGAGCAGTTTAAATCTCCCTGCAAGGAGCTTGGCTCCACCCCCAGTCAGCTGATTAGGCCTCACAGCACAGCTGGTCTGATTCATCCATACCTGAGGAAGAAAATGGCACAGATTGTCCACCTGGATGTTTAAAGCTGCAATGTGTTCTTCTACTGTTTTCAGGGTTGCTGGCTTTCCGTTGATCCACCATGATGATGTGTTGTTCATCTTTTGAATCTCACGGGTGATAATAATATTGCTTGGTGGCTTAAACCTGATTAATAAAAGTAAGTGCTTACACTTTTGAGAATACACGAAGTTTACCAAGTGTCAAAGTATTATTAGAATTTTTAGACAGCTAAATATTTAATATAAATAACTGGACAGTAGCATCAGATTCTCATTTCATAATTCAGAAAACATCCAGTACTTCAGTGATGAACTAAACTCACATGGAAAGCATCCTAGAACATCTGCAAATCTTAACTCAGAGGAAGTAATTTACACAAATGAGTTGCTCATGCTGAATGTATGAAACATTCAAAAGTTGTTGCAGATGTTAACAGTTTCTATGAAAGTGTAATTTTTTTGTATGACATTTATTAAGTTTAAAAATTGGCATTAAGGAGGTACACACCAGCAGTAAGACTTTAAAATAAAGCATTAGTGTACAGAACTACATCAATAAGCTGAGCATACATATTCCATCTGGGAATAAAAATAACATCATACAGCACAAAAATACTAATTTTCATTTTCTGCTTTTAAAAACCAGTAAAAACATATTAATTGTCCATTTAATTCTCTAACTCAACACTTATTTTCAGAAGTTTAGTCTGTTTAAGATTCATCAATAACAAATGAGCAATGAGGTAATTCAAATTTTGGTTGTAATTTTGATTTAGAAATTGTCTAGTGCCTGTTAAGCATATTGTTAAAGCTGGAGAACACAGGCTTGTAAAAGTTTAGTGGCCACATACCTCAGGAGACTTAAGAACAGAGATCAATGTAAAGTGAATATGCATCTGCTGCCAGTTTTCGGATTAAGTGCCATAGGGATATGAGTCTACTTCTTGAAGACTGGATGATTCTTTCCTCCATTACCTTATTTTATCAGACTTCCTTCAAGAGACATAGAAAGCCATGCTCCTTTTCTTTTATCAAATTAAAGACTTTTACTACTATAACCTGATATTAATTATAATTCAAGGGCCAAATTCAACCAGCACAGTACATGCCTACAGAACTCAAATTTTTCAATTCCTGTCAAAATGCAATCTTCTGCATCACTGGTCTTTCAATCTCAATGTTGTATTTAAGTATTTTCTACCAATTAGATAAAGGACTCAACTGCATTGCAACCACTAGAGTAAAAATACTAAGTCTTCACACTGCAAGACTCTTTTCAGACTTTCAGGTAACATCAGGATGTATTTATGTTGCAATAATAACACCATCTACGCCGAAAGACATCCTACCTCCTGACCTACTGCTTGGCCAGTCTCCAAAGAATGTCATCTTTATTCACTTCCACAAGAACAAAAGTGGACAGGTCTTGTTCAAAGGCCTGTTCCAGTATTTTTTTCCTTAATATCATTTTCTTTTTATGCAATCTGATTAGGGTGGCCAATTGTTAACACAGGTTATGAATTAGTTGATTATCTCTATCTTCCATTTAGTTCAGGTGAACAGACAAGGTTAAGGCTTATTAAAATCACCTGTGTCACTGCATCCACAAAAAAGCAAGGAAGCATGTAATATGGCCCTATATCACAAGTTACAAATTTTACAGAGTAAGTCCAAATGATTTTGATTTGGTCTGTTTTGCAAAAGCTTACATACAAGACTGCATAAGCAGGAATGATCTTCTACTTTTTTTGTGTCAGTATGTAATGCTTTTGTTATGAATGTAGGAGAGTCCCTCATACTACCAGTATCAGTATATGAAAGTGAAGGCAGAACAATCTGTTTCAAAATTTAGACTTTGACTTTTTTTCAATTTAACAAAAAAATTCCAACCTCTACATAATGATAGCAGTGCTGACTGTATTTGAACCATCTGAACCTTAAATGTCATCAAAACCTAAACACACCATATACAACAATATTTATCTATACATTCTTTTTACATAAAGACAAGGTGAAAAGCTCCAGAAAGTGAGATCAAGAGCAGCCATCACTGGTTATTTCTTCTGTGGTAATTATTTAACCTTAAAATTTTTAAGTCTGGGGGGGAATAGAAAGAGAAAAAAGCACCAGCTTAAAGACAGACCTCTGTACACCAATTTTTTTTTCCACAGCTTTGTGCATAACTGAGTGGAGAAATGATCTAATTAAAAGTGAATGAGGAAATACAGTTTTAGTACTTACAGTTCAATTTCCACTAAACCTTTCGTGCATCCCTGCTTTACAAAGAGACCAACCTAGAAAATTAATTTAGAAATTGTTATTGCAAAATAACAGCACAGTATTAAAAGTTAATATTTTACGAAAACATGCATTCGTATAATACAGTTGACATAATGGGATATTTTATTGAAAACGTACAATTAAAAAATTTTTTTTTAAACTACTAACTAAAGATACAGGAACACACTTATCTTCCACATCAACTAGCATCATTAGAACTTACTCCACAAGTTAACCATTCCTGATTAACTTCAACCTCCAAAAGTGAACAAATTATCATCAGCAGATCCACAGAGAGGAAGTTCTCACAAATCAGGAGAACAAAGGCAATACAAATGAAAAGATACTGCCAAATATCTGTACCAACAGAGCTACCAATTCTAATAGTATAAAAACAATCCTGGAAAGTCAATAAAAACACCAATACACTCTACTGCCATGAAGTCAATGTCTGTATTTACATTTGCTCCTGGCTCAGCTACAACAAAAGAATATATACAATCACTTAGGCACCCAGATTCATTGCTTCAAAGATCTACTCAAATACATTGTATCCAATCAGAATATCCACGATAGCAACTGCAAAATTTAAAAATTACACAATACAAACTTCCTACTACAATGTCAACCCATGATCTCTTGGGAGCAAAAAAAAAAAGTAAATATAGTAGAGCAATCCAAATTCCACCTAAACCTAAGATCAGTGGCTGCATACTTTCAGAGAAATTCTCAGACACACTAAGGATATGTTATTTCTACAGATAGTATCTACTCAGAAATTTAATTTACACTGTTTTGTTTATTTCTGGTTTAGTTGGTACTTCTGATCAAATGTTATCTAGGCATTAGGGGGCATTTTCTTAGCCCCATTACGGATGCTTAACCATCTTCAAACATAACCTCTAGTCCACCCAGCTTGCAGTGCAATTCAGGTGTTTCCATTTCATAATTCATCCAAGACAACGATTAATCAAGAAAGAGAAAGTCCCTTTGGTAAAAGCCTTTGCCTTTGGAATAGGTTATTCTTCAGTTTGGACACCTACCTTTTATGAAAATAAAGCAAACCAAGGAAGAGCCTTTCGCCCCTTCCTCTGCTGAACAGTGCTCTTAACCAAATTCAGATTCAACATGAAATTACAAAAGCTCATAGTTACCTTATCGGCCCGCCCTATGAAAGAAGGTTTCCCAGCCAGTCCCAGGCAGATGGCACAAACAATGCTTGACTTCCCTGTTCCATTAGCACCTACAACCACGTTCAGGTTGGGCCCTGGATATACTTCACAGGAATCATATATTCTGGAAAACACAGCAAGTTTTTGAATCTTATAGACTCCATATTTGCTTGAAAGAAAGAATACTTTCTTAAAAACAATTTATGATTTAATTGAATACAATGTAAAATTACCTAATCTAAACTCAATCCCCAAGCACCATTTTGTAAGAAAACCTCAAGAGTGAAAATTAACATTTCAATAAAACTCCGTGAAATAGACAGATTCCTACCAGCCAGAGTACTCATAAGAACTTACTTTAAAATTAGTGATTATAAAGAACGAAATCCAGCAACATAATGATAATTTATCTTGAATTTAGTAGGGCATAATTTTATTTTACGTATTAAAAAAAATTTTAAAAAGACAAAATTGAGTGAGCTCAGACAATTCTATTCTATTTAATTCCAACTGCCTGCTGTACCACAGTCGCACAAGATTCCACTCATTTGACCCACACGGCAGGTTCACTCCACACTCCGAACAGGGTACCGCCTTGCAAGGAAGGCATCGCTTGACGCAGTCCCTCTTGCAGCCGCCGCCAACCGCGGTAACCCCGTTTCGCTGCTGTGGCCTCTCGGCTGCAGGCCCGCCGGGAGGGACGGGTGGAGGGAGGCCGCAGCCCCCCGAGGTGGGGGAGAGTGCCCCTCACTCACAGGAAGTTCTTCATGAAGATCCGAACGACGGAGCCCAGGACGAAAGGCTGAGGTGGCTTGCCGCCCTTCGCGGCCCTCCTGTCCGCGCTGCCATTTTCCCGCGCGGGCTCCTCCTCGGCCGCCGCCATCTTGGCCTCTATCACCGCGGCCCCCACCCCCCCCTTCGGCCCTAACGCCGGGCTCTCGCGCGCGCCTCGCTCTTATGGCCCGGGAGGGCGGGACTAAATTGCGCTGGAGCTCTTCATTGGCGGGAAGCGCGCCGTGCTGGCGTCTATTGGCTGGAGGGGCGCGGGTGCGGGGTGCGCGCCGGGGTGGGGCGTTCCGGCGGGGCGTTGCGGCGAGTGAGGCCGCGCGGCGCGCGGGGCCGGTGCTTACCCGCGAGGGGGCAGCAGCCCACCGGTCTGTGAGGGGCATCTGCTAAGCGGGGTAGTGTTTGTTACATTTGTAGCAAAGTAACAGGAAAAACATTGTTTACACGTGTTCATTCTAAGACCAGACAACCTGCAGGGAGGATAGGCGCCCTTCAGAAACGCTCCTAAGAACGACATACGCCTGTAAGATGCCCGGCGTCTCTCAGCAGGGGAGGGCTGAGCCTCGAGGAGGGTTTACTTTACAGAACTTGTTACTATGGAGGCCGCAGAGCCCCCGAACAGAATTGCGCCGGCTTGGCTTGTCACAAAACCCAACCTCCCGTTCACCATCACTTCTGCATAAGCCATTTACAGCATTATGTGGAGACTGCGGGAGCTGGGCCTGTTCAGTCCAGAGAAGAGTGAGGGGAGATCTCATTAATGCATATCATATAAACATGTCAAAGGTCTGTGCCAAGAGGATGGTGCCAGACTCTTTTCAGTGGTGCCCAGTGATAGGACAGGGAGCATTGGCCATAAACTAAAACACAAGACATTCCTCAACATGAGAAAGAGAGCACTAGAACAGGCTGCCCAGGGAGGACATGGAGTCTCCCTCTCTGGAGACATTCAAAACCCACCTGGATGCACTGTGTAACCTGCTCTAGGTTATGGCATGGGGGTTGGACTAGCTGACCTCCAGAGGTCTCTTCCAACCCTGATAATTCTGTGGTCTGGGCTAATGGTTCAGGTAAATAATGTTTCAAGGCTGCCTGTCAGACAACAGGAGTTGGTGAGCCAGTAGAAGTTCTCAGGAGCAGACATTGTTTCTGCTAAGCTCAAAGATGAGCTTAACTCGCAGGAGCCATTAATCAAGGCTGAGGCCTAATGAAAATTCCTGAGTGGCCCAGACTGAGAAGAAGGACAGGGGAATGCACCACCACAGACATCAAGTGAGGATTTTTTTGAGGTGGGATGAGAGTCAATTTTTCTTTTTTTCAAAATGTCAGGGGTAGAACATTTTGACTTTGTCATGTGGCAGAGAGTGCTCTCTTCAGCCTTTGACCTTACACAGCAGTCCTTTTGGAGCAGTGGATCTCCTGAATGAGGCTAGGCACATTCATAAACTCTGTTCAGATCCAAGTAGATAAAAAGCCAGGTCTTTTAGTACTTGCCTTGAACTGTCTTAGTGAATCTTCATGACGGTAAAGTTTGGTTTATGTTAGGTTTATTTTGGTGTGAAATGATAGTCAGAATATAGTTTCATTTACTTTAGCATAAAGCTAGACTGACAATATTATTTTATGTTTTATTCTGGATTTCCATTGGCATAACCGAGATCTGAGTTCAGCCCTTGCCTTGGAAATTTATAAGAATAATGATAAAACGTCAACTGATGGGAAAATACTTACAGAATATTAAAAAGGAGGCTTTCCATTGATCTCAAGACAAGTTGAGTTCCACTCCACCACAAAGCTACATTTAGAGCAATCACATATAAGCCTGTTAGTGTTTATGGTGCTACAGTTGCTTTTCAAGGTTTCTTTTTCATTTGCGTTTTACAGACTGTGATAAAATTGTGAATCAAAGCAATTATTTGTAGGTTCTCCAGTATCTTTTGAAGAAATTTTCAGACAGTAAACAGCTGTATTTAAGATCTTCACTTAAGTAACAGCAGGAAATGGGGGATTCTTGCACTGCTGTCTGCATAATAACATTCTCTGTATTTCCATTGATAAGTGTAGTTGGTTCTGATTGTAAATTGCTAAAACTTCACCATTGAGAAATATAACATCCAGTTCACTTTTCAGCATAGCATGAGAAGACTTGCACACCTTCTTTGTCTCCCAAATGCATTTTGTCTGGTCATCAGATGACGTCAGTATTAATCCATCTGGTGAAAATGTCACACAGTGAACCTAGCTCATGTGTCCCCTGCAGTATGCCACTTTTGACAGAGATTTAATATTCCATAATTCAATAGAACAGTGAGATAAAGAACTGCTACTAACTCATCACGAGGACAAAAGTCGCAATATCGGATTGTACTGTAATGACTGATGATGACTTGTGTTAACAAATCACGTTTCAGTATCAAAAAGCAAAAGCTTGTTTTTGGCTACTACCAAAATCATGTCACTGTTTCTGGATCAAGAACTACATTTTACTAAAACCTTCACATCACCTGGTTGCTCATCTGCATTTTTAAGAAATCTTTTATCCCAATACTTTTCATTTCATTTCCTAGTATGGCAAGTCTCAGAAGAACTGTTCTTTGCCCTGCTGTGGTCCCTGTACAGCTACTGCAGCAGTGAAGAAAGGAACAAAGAGTAAATAAAAATGGATCCAGAAATTAATTGCATGGGGAGTTTCCTATTTGGACAGAGCTGATTGAGTGATTTTTCTCTTACCATAAAACTGAAGTTTGCCAGTAGAGAAATCTCAGTGCACCTTCCCTAGTATTCAAATGTTTTCTAGTCATTCTCTTCCTAGTCTGTGAATTTCCTCTTCTATAAACTGATATTCAGCAGGCATTGAAGTAATTCAAAGCCATGTTTCAAATTTTCCCTCTCTTTTGTTTCCTGCAGCAAAAATGGTGGAAAGGTAATGTTCCCTACTTAAGGAAGAACCTAGGCTTTTCTTTTTTTTTCCTTGCAGTCAGGACAATACCTCACACTTGTGGATAAATGCTACCCTCATTGGTACTGCTAAAATCATTGTAGCAGTGAGGTCCCTACAGAACACTCAATGGAGAGCAGGTTAGAGTACTTCCTTATGTTTTGAATCTAGTAGCCTAAATCTGATTACTTTGATGGAGTGAAGCACAGTTGCATAAATCTTCAGAGACAGGAATGTAGTAGTTATACTTCATGCTTCATTTCATTTAGAGAAAAGACCCATCAGAAGTATGGAGAGCCACCAAGCCTGATTATTTTAACCATTTCATTTTCATTTGTCTTTTGCCTAGATAATTTGAGCTGAATGTTGATACCAAAGCATACACTTTATGGAACAAATGTAAAACTGCATTGATTCATAGGAAATAGTCCATTGTTTCTGTTTGCTTTCATTTGCAGAATAATATCAAGACCGATGTGTTCATAAGCAGCTTACAAGGGAGACTGTAGGTAGCTAGGATAGGCAGTTAAGATGTCAATGTCTTTTGGCTCTTCCTCAGTCTCTAGGAAACAATAAACTGCTTCAATCTGTGTGGTACTAAATGTATTGAACTGAACAATCTCTTCCATTGATTTTGGCACCAAAATTAAAGTTTACTAAAGATTTAAGGACCTAGATCATCAAAGGTGCTGTTGATCCTTACAGGCTGTTAGGAAAAGTATATACTTAGTTCTGAAAGGAGCAGAGTGTGATGGCTGTAAGATTAACTTCCACCACTCAGTACATGGCTTCTTGCAGCACTTCAGAAGCTCTCAGCTTTCTTAGGTAATGGGACCCACACATTTCACAGAATCACAGAATACGCTGAGGTGGAAGGGGCTCACAAGGATCATCGAGTCCAACCCTTAGCCCTGCACAGGATCATCCCCAAGAGTCACACCATGTGCCTGAGAGTATTGTCCAAATGCTTCCTGAACTCTGTCAGGCTTGGTGCTGTGACCACTTCTCTGAGGAGACTGTTCCAGCACCCAACACCCCTCTGGGTGAAGAACTCCTTTCTAATATCCAGCCTAAAACCCCCCTGACATAACTTCAGGCCATTCCCTCAGGTCCTGTCACTGGTGACCACAGAGAAGAGATCAGTTCCTGCCCTTCCTCTTCCCCTCACAAGGGAGTTGTAGACTGCAATGAGGTCTCCCCTTAGTCTCCTCTTCTCCAGGCTGAACACACCAAGTGACCTCTGGTGTTCCTCATAAGGCTTTCCCTCAAGGCCCTTCACCATCTTCATTGCCCTCCTTTGGACACTCCCTAAGAACTTAATATATTTCTTATATTGTGGCGCCCAAAACTGCCACAATATTCAAGGTAAGGGTGCCCCAGTGCAGAGCAGAGCAGGACAATCACCTCCCTCGCCCAGCTGGGGATGCTTGGCCTGATTCTTCCCAGGACATGGTTGGCTCTCCTGGCTGCTAGGGCACTGCTGACTCACATTCAACTTGCTGTTGATCCCCAGGTCCCTTTCCATGGAACTGCTTATCAGCATCTCATTCCCCAGTCTGAACAAACATCCAGGGTTGCCCCATCCCAGGTGCAGAATGTGGCACTTTCCCTTGTTGAACTTCATATGGTTGGTGACTGTCCAGTACTCTAATTTGTCAAGGTCTCTCTGAAGGACCTCCCTGCCTTCAAGAGAGTCAACAGCTCCTCCCAGTTTTGTGTCATCTGCAATCTTGCTTAGTATCCCTTCCAGTCCTGCATCCAAGTCATTTATGAAGATGTTGAAGAGCACAAGGCCTAAGATGGAGCCCTGTAGAACCCCACTAGTGACAGGTCACCAGTTTGATGTTACCTCAGTCACTATTACCCTCTGTGCTCGACCTGTGAGCCAATTGCTCACCCACCACATGATGTGTTTATCCAGGTAGACATCTAGTCAGAAGGATCCTGTGAGAGACAGTATTAAAAGCTTTACTGAAATCCAAAATGATTACATCAAATGGCTTCCCTTGATCAACTGTGTGGGCTACCTTGTCATAAGACTAAATGAGGTTTGATAAGCCAGACTTTCCTCTCATGAAGCTGTGCTGGCAGTGACCAGTGACTGCATTGTCTTTCAGGTGTTTTTCAATACCTTCCAGAATAATCTTCTCCATAACTTTACCAGGCACTTAAGCGAGACTGACAGGCCTGTAGTTTCCGGGGTCCTCCTTCTTGCCCTTCTTGAAAATTGGCACAATGTTCACCAGCTTCCAGTCAGCTGGGACCTCTCCAGATTCCCAAGACCACTCAAAAATCATTGAGAGAGGTTTTGCAATGACATCAACAGCTCTTTGAGGATTCTTGGATTAATCTCATTCTCTAAAGTTCAAAATAATGACTTCAGGCTATTTTATTAGGTTGAGTTCTCTCTCCTTACACTGATTAGTATGAAGTCTAGAAAAGAGCAATCAGGCGATATTCAAAGTTACATTTTATTAGGAAGTTATAATAATTTCAAAAAAACCCCTTACACACAAATACATAAAACCAAAAAATAAAAAGATGTGTGAATTAAGTTTCCTATTAATATAAATGCACGCATCTGTGGTTGGGTAAAGTATACGTGCATTCTCTGTGAGTGTACAAACTGATTGAATAAAAAAACTCAGACAAAAAGACTTGCATGCCAGAAAACATGTAGCTTCAAAGGGTTTCATTTCATATAGTTCCAGCTTATGATGGATTATACGGAATACTAAAACTGAGTTTGTTATTGGCAAGGATGACAAATATATTTGTTATAGTAAAATAATACAGTATCACAAAAAATTGCCAGCAGAGTATTAAGTTTCCCAGAGAGATTTGTCATCATGAATAATTGCACTGAACCTTAAGGCTGTTACTAGTAGCTAGCACTATTTTCTTTCTTATTTCAAAATATTTATAATTTTCATAACAAAAATCCATTCTATCCCCAACACAAAACATTCACTGAATGCAGATTTAAGATAACACAATATTCGACTTTAATTGTGCAACTTTCCTCTTTTTACTTATATACCAGAAAGGTTAAAAAAAAATTTAAATGAATGACCTGTGCAAAATGGGAAGCCTTTATGCAATAACTGATACTTCATGCAAAAGAGGAAAAAATATTTTAAAAAGTTATGGTCTAAGAAGCCCTGAGTCAAAAATTTCATTGCAGAGGCAAGGAACATGAGTGCTCTGAGTTCTTCCTATGTATTGGTGCATATTCAAACCAATCCAATATTTACTTAAAACATATTTTAAAATTGGTAGTTTGTGCAGTTTCTCACATACAAATCTTCTACGCACTTTCTTTCAGCAGACTGTATTTAATACTCAATTTCGTTTAAGCTGTCAGGATAGCCTGATGAGAACTGAATTTCTTCCACTTCTAGAATACAAAAAAAGGAGGAAATACCATAATTATTCGTATTTTAATCATACATAAGAACGCATGAAGCAGAATGCAATTAATATCCTGGATTTAAATGGGACTGCAACATGATTTTTAAAAAACGTTACAGCCACTTAACTAGTTGAGTCTGAGTATGATCTCACATCGCATTAGAAAGCAAAAATTCTGCACTGACCCAGCAGTTACTAAATACTAAATTCAAACCCATTCAATGGGGAGTCAAGGGAAGAAGTATCATCCATCTAATTAAAACAAGCACTGTGAATTACCAGGTGTCTCTTACGAGGTATATTTAAACTTACCTAAACAGGGTCCTGCCTGGAACAGAACATCATCAATAGCAGTGTCACTTCTCATTGACACACCGCGGATCACCTCAAAAATAATCTGTAAAGGTAAGACACAGCTTTTCATGAATCCCACAAATGGACAGACTCAGAAAAATTATAGGCATGCAACCTATTCAAGGATCTAGTGTGTCCTGAAAGCCTGCTTCTTGGAAAGAAAGTTCTGTCCTCCATCAGATTGGCTTAGTCAGAGCAATTCAGTGCGTGCTATGCTGAAGGAAGCAAGTATGGTCTCCCTCTCCTTTTTCCTTTCCTTTCCTTAGTAATTTTCAAGCTCTTAAGGGAAAGTGATTAAAAAACTCCACAACATCTGTGGATGGTGATCAGTGCAATTTTGTGCCCAGTGCTGTTTTAGTCATTAGCAATTTCAACTTCCTCTTTCACAGAGAAACTGAACCAGGTTTTATCTAAGGCAATACTGAAGTCATGTTGAAACCAAAGAGCTCTGGATTTGCATCATCCCTTGTCTTTGGTGCCACCTTAGAAAGACCACCCTACAAGAAGCTGCCATTTTATCATAGCTCAGTGGCTCTGTCAAATCTAGACAGGGCTATAGACAGCTGAAGGAAAAGAAATTGCACAAGTGATCTAAAATAACCCTACCACTACTGACAAGAAATGATGGGAAACAACATTTAAATACTTTAAAAAATTATTTTGAGTTAATAACTATTTTAATACTTGCAAACGATTCATGTCTTTAATAAGTTCATTTCAATTTTCCAATTTGACTGCTTCTTGCTTGTTTTTCTTACCTGGTAGTTTCTATCACTTTCATATTCTATCAGTCCCCTTAGCCATGAGATGCTTTGTTCTCCTGTCCTCCTCCACAAAGGAATCTCTTCATCATCCCCTTCCTTTTTCAGATAAACACTTAATAATCCAGTCCCAGCTCCATACATGTGATAGAAAAATGTCAAGCACTGTTTTCCAGATATTCCTCTTAGTAATCTTGAAAAAAGGTATGCTCTCTGTCCATAGACCATGTCAGATGCCTCTATATACATGTAGTACCCTTAAAAGATACACAAGCAAATATTAGCAAAGTAAAATACTCAGCATGTTCATTATGCTCAACATGCTCACTGTATTAAAAAAATTATGACTCAAACTATTTTGATAAAGATTTTTAAGATGTAGACTGCAGTGTTTGTGAACTGTAATATTTGTGATATTGTAATAACAGTGGACTGTAATAATGGTGGGTTTGAATTCATAAAACCAAGAGCTGATTCAGTCTTTCTAACAAGTTTATAATATGATTCAGGCCTTAAAACTAAAGACTAATTATTTTATTATACTTTAATATGAGCTGTAGGCTTTGGTGTTTAATTCAAGGAGCTTTTAAGCATAGTGAACAGCAAGGTCTTTGCAATGGATTGCACTAGGCTTGGTACAAATCATCTTGGAAATTCTCCAACACACTGTATGAAATTATTATTTCTTTATGGACCTACTCTGTAGATAATCTTCCTTTTCAGCCTTTCTCTTGACTGCTGCTTACTACCAAACTACAATCTGGCTTAGAGGGGATGTCTCCAGTAGGGAGTTGAGCAGAAAATAGGACTCTGAGTATCATGACAGACATCTCAAGTATCCACTGGCTGCTGCTGCTGCTCCCAGCTTTTCTTCTGTCTCACTTATCCTTGGGAATCCCCTCTCCCTCTGAAGGCAATCTCACCCCCAGACCTGTGGTGGCAGAAGGGCAGATAACACCACAAAAAGGGAGCAGTGGGACTGCATGAAGAGTTGCTGCAATGTCTGAGTTCACTGTCTGCTCTCAGAGTGTACATCTTAAAACACAGAACAGCTGCTTTATGCAGCATATGGGACATGGGGATGCTCCTCAGTCTTCTGACACACCTCAGTTTGCTCCAAAGGGCAATAGCTGAATGATAGATTGAGGGGGTATAATAAATTTGCCTTCCAGCGATTAATGACTTGAACACTTAAAAACTGGGCTATATCTGATGAAATACACAGCAATAGAAAAGAATACAAAGCAAGAAAATACCATAGCTGCTCCTAAACCAGGAATGCACTCTGATAGCAATCGATTCCTTGGAATTCAGAGACAGCTCCATGTACATCTGAGGGTACAATTTAGGCAATGGTTGGCACTGATGCAGCTCTCTGCGCACTTGCTCATACTAATGGGGACTCCACTTGCCCAAATACTTTAAATTACACTAGTGAGGTTGTGGAGCAGGTTTTCAAGACAAAGGGCCTGTGTGAGTTCTTTTATTTGCCATGTTTTCTTCTAAGTTTGAACCCAAAGTATGTTCATGCAGAAGAGATCCCAATCACTTGCACAACTTGCTGCAAAGAGATGTGTGAGATAAGGAATCAACATTGTCACAGGTGAGACTTAAAAGTTCTAAAGTCAAGCTATCAGCTTCACATCTGAGACTACTTAATGATCTATATAAACCGAAAATAGGTATAAAGTCAGTTTCAGGAAATATTCACATAAGCTAGGAGTTTGGAAGGAGCTTTTTCTGCGAACTCTGGGGAGCCATCCTGTTCTTTTATCTCCCAAAGGAAAGGGCTACTTTAGGATGTGACAACAGAACAATCCACATGGTCTGCAGATATTTCAGATTAAACATCACATTTTCAAAACCATTCATGGGTCCCTACAAAATGTGTTTACTTCATTGGATTAATACCTCTTCTGAACAGAAGCGTAAAAACTTTCTCTATCATCAAGGTTATCATTTCAAAGTAATTTTGATTGACTATTGTCCTGGTTAGAACGGCTGGGACCAATTCATCACTAGATGGGTGCAACCCAAAACTGTGTATTCTATAGCCGTCCATGCCATTTTTCCCAAAAACTGTTGTCAGTAGAGGCCTGCAAGGTGGGAAGATGTTCCTGTACCCTTCTATGGAATTCCCCGCTCTGATACCCTTTTATGGAATTCCCCGCTCTGATACCCTTTTATGGAGGAGGGACTGAGCATCCGCATGCCCTTTTATGGAATTCCCTACTCTGAGGGAGGGACTGAGCACTCCCGCCTGAACTGGAGAGTATATAACTGGGAGTTTTAGAACCTTGCCACCTCTCGTGGGATCCAGAGGAAGATTGCAGACCACTGCCTTCAACTAGACTGCAGACCACTGCCTTCAACTGGACTGCAATCACCACTTCTGACCAGACTGCAGCAGCTCTCCCACCAGCAGGTTTATCCCCTCTCCCTTTGCTTTGGACTCGGGGGTGGGCCAAGGTACACCACTTTTGTTCATACCCCAGGGTGCTGGGTATACATTTGGGTTTTGTGGGTTAAAACCAATTGTCTGTCTGTATAATTGTACTTATTGCATTATTTTAATAAATTGTTATTCTGACTTATAAATCTCTCTTTTGAATTGAGTTCATTTTCCCTTGCTGGTTAACTTTTAAACCAGCACAACTATCAACTTCTGTTCTGAAAGTTCAACGTGGAGCTTAACTCACCTACCCCAGTAGTGTGGTCTCCTTTCGGACCAGTGTAAGAAGTGGGAGTTGGACCCCTCCTCCTGTGCCAGCTCCCACGACCTCTCTTCTTTTGCGTAAACACACACTCATCTTTTTCAAAAGTACACTCTCCAGGGCTGAGCAGAAATGAATCTGTAAAGAGAGAACATAGTTTAAAACTTCAAATATATTAGACCTATATTTGGAGAGATAACACAGAAAATGTATTGCATTTACTCACCTGCTGAATCTACCTAGCAATGCTTACAATAATCACAAGCTTATAAAAGCCAGCTTCAAACTGAATGAAATGTGATTTCATTTTCTTCACTGTTTTGAGGTAATCTGTGCCCCAGTCTAGCTCAGTAACATGTACTAAGATTCTTGAAAACATTTCATACAGTTTATTACTCTTAATCTACAATAATGGTTTGGACTAGATGATCTTAAAGGTCTTTTGGTTTTAATGATTGGACTCAATGATCTTAGAGGTCTTTCCTATCCTTAGCAATTCTATGATTCCATAACAGGCTCTACCACTGTAATTTTCTTCACTATGGTGGCACCCCAGGCAGATTAATGAGCTCTAGAATCTATAATGTGCATATTTAATGAGTCTTGTCAAAGACTGGAGTTTCTGTGATCCAAAATCAAGTGGTACATTTAGCTCTCCTACATTCCCTTGGCAGCAGATTCTACTACAGCATACAACAGGCCACAGAGCTGTAATTACTATAGTATTTTCATTACTTCAATTCTATTAGATGATGCAAAAGGGAGAAAGTTGATAATTCAGATGCTTGCTAGGAAGCTTCTGTCAGCTTTTCTGCTGTAGCCTAGTTTTGTTGTTCAGAAGTAGACACTGAGCTGCTTTCACTTTTTGAAAAGGAGGAAGCTTTGATATCTCTGGGGCATATTTCAGGCATTTGTTTTGCTCCGATCAGAGACAGCCGCAGTATGACTACACACCCAGTTAGGAGTTCTGCACCTTTGGTTCCTTTTCCAATTACTTAGGAACTACAGAAAGGCAAAACAGACAACTGTTGGAAATGCTTTAGAAAAATGGCATCTTGTTTTATACATGTGACTTCTCTCTGTTTTGTAATGGTTAGCTGCCTGAATGCATGAAAGCCAATCAAAAGAGGTCATTAAAGAGCTATTAGGACCATTGCAAAGACATGGCTTTATTCTGAAGAAGAACGGGATTATAGATTGTGCCTGCCTCATGAGAATGGTTTCTAAATTAGGATACAATCGTTGTACTGTCAACTTCAAAATGCCCCAGAAGAGGCAGTCTGGTGAGTTCAGAGAGGTTAGCCTGCACATGTCAGAGGGTAAAGTCTTGCTGAAAAACAGTCAGTTCCTCCCACTACAGGAGAGAGAGTTGGACTGATCTTATCAGTCTTCACTAGAGAGCTGCAGCTCAAGTAAGGGACTGTGTCTTTGCCTTGCACAACTGTACTTCTGGATTAAAAAAGAATAATACTGTCTTTTGAAAATATTGCTTTTGGGTCCAATCCTGGTTTCTCAAAATCCGTTTTGAAAACTACTTTTCCCTCAGTTGGACTTTTGGTTTATTTTAAATTGTAAT